ATTTAATAAATTGATTCTGATGAACTGATTGTTAAATCAAACAGTTAAACAGGTAAACAGCACTGTGCAAATTACAACAGAAAATTAGCGTAGTTGTTCTAACTGATGCAAGAGATGCAAAAATAATAACAAATCTTTTCAAACATATCAGAATCGGGAAGTTTGTCAGAATCTGCAGAACTAATTGATGATTAGGATCAAACAGAAGCACTCAGAGAAGAAAAAGTCATTGTGGAGAAGCTACATGAGTTCTTTGCATCGATTCATGCTCACTCTGAAAGCAATTAGAGAGGTCTCAATGCTACAGCCTTCTTCAGGGAAGACTCATCAGAAGATCTGTCCAAAAACTGAAGCAATCACAATCCTTAAAGATTTTAAGGAAGAAACTGACAAAATAAAGAGTAGTATATCACCAGGACTGGATAATTTCCCAATAGTTCTAAAATAAATAATTAATTAAATAGCTTAATTACTAACAGCAATTTGCAACCTCCCAAAATTGTTTTTATGCTTAAGAACTGGAACAGTAACACGCATGAAAACATCCCATTCAAGTCTGGTGTCTGGACCAGACAAATTAACACAGGCTACAAAAAAAGAAGAAAATCTGTGGACAGCCAGATAAAAACAATCAGCTTTAAGACTTCTGAGTTCTGACTTAGCAATCCTAGAGTTCTTTGAAGGGATCAACAAACATGCATAACAAGACCCATTTGAGATCACCACGGGGCTTTCCAGAAGACTTTTAACAGCCACTCACCAAAATCCTAGCGAAACCAAGGACTCACACTGTAAGGGAAAATGTCTTGGTACAGGTAAATTATAAGAGAATGGAAAACAGGGTAACTTAGTCGTTCCTGCATGGTGGAAGATGACCAGTGGAATTGCACAGGGTTCTGTGCTGGGATCTGTTGTGTTCAACTTCTCCCTAAACAACACAGAAAAGTGGGTGGCAGCAGTCATACGGGTGAGTTTCCTGACTTCACTATGATATTCAAAGTAGCAAAGATGAAGGCTGACCAAAGAGCAGAAAAAGGATTTGTAGTCAACTGGCAATAAAATATGCAGAAATTTTAAATGCAGATGAATATGAAATGATGTGTGGAAAAAAACAGAACAAACATACCTTCATGTATAAAATTACTGCCTTTGAACCAACTATAATCACCTGGAGAACAATCTTGGGGTTAATGACAGATTCCTCATGGGAGTTCAAGGCTCGCAGGACGTCAAGAAAGCAAATAAAACATTAGGAATTATTGGGAAATAAATTTATGCAGGCATGCAAATCTATGACATGGCCACATCTTAACTGCCATGTTCTGGTTTCCTCAAAGAAAGAGACAGGAATCAGGATTGTAAAATGTCCTGAGAAAAGCAACATGGATACAATAATGGTATGGAATAGTCTCTGTATCAGAAAGGTCTAAGAAAGGACTCTTCAGCATGAAGAAGAGATAACTCAAAGAGGAGAGGATAAAGGTCTAGAAAGTTAAGGGAGGTGTGAAATGAACAACAGGTTTAAATATTCACTGCTTTTTCAATACAAGAACCAGAAGGTATCAAATAAAGACTGTTAAGGCCAAATTCAAACAAGCAAAAGGAATTACTTGCTATGGCAACTCCTTGTCAATGGATCTTTAACATATTTATATGGGGTAGAGAAGAGGCTCTAGAATTTCACAGAATAAAAGTCAAGTGAGGTTTATTTCATACACAGCGGGCTGAGGGTGTTTCCAAACTGGAAAGAGCTGGAGGTTTGGTAAGTATATGCCTGCTCTGCTTTTATTGTTCTCTAGACATCTGACTTTCACCATTGCAGAGTATGATTAGCAGACTGGATGAACTGTTCACACGATGCAATGTCATTATTATTTTGCTGAAGGGGCAATTACTGCATCCAGTGATGTCAGATTCTTAAACAAATGTTTCGTAATTTAAAAAGTTGGATACTTTGAAGTACAAAGGGATTTCGCTATACAACAGGTACAACATTGCTTCGATACAAATTTTAGTATCACAGCCGCTGTTTGTGCACTTAGGATTGAAAACAGATTCCTAACTGATAAAACATTACACAGGAGCTGGCAGGGCCCCCAAAAGGCCACCTAAGCTCAGACAGTGCCTGAACCATTGACAGAAGCTACTGCCCTATTTAGGCAATGTGTCTGTTCCAAAAGCATGACCTTCTTGTGACTTGTGACAATAACCACAGCCTGAGGATGACACCTTTTATATCTTTTATCTGAAAAGTTTAGAGATGACAATGATGTGAGAAAGGGAAGAACATCTTGCTAAAAGATTTCTCAAGATGGGCAAAAGTCTACAATGCTGACTAGAAGCAGAAGCACGAAAGCTCATCCTGCAAGACAGAAGCTCTACAAGAATACTTCTGACAGCTTTCACAGCATGTGGCAGCCACCAAGGATTTTGTTATTCCACACAAGTAAGCTCCAAAATCAACCATAAACACATACTTCAAAAGCACCGTTGAGTTCCCCAGTTCTACCCTGCAGATCCAGCTTTGCAATTTTCTGTATTCCTTACCCAAGACTATGACACATGGAATTTAGCAAGTCTTGCTAACTCAGTTTCTTCAAAAGTCTTTCTCATAGAGTTAAACCACTACTCTTCCATTCCTTCTGATTCTTTTACCCAAGTGAGAAAACAAACTGAGAAAAAAAAGAGATGAAACTGCAGTGTAGTGAGAAGAACAGAGACTACTTGGGTGGCATCTGTGGAATTCAGTCTATGGCGTGGGTGCAAGTCATTAATCCTATTTCCTGTGCTCACATTTTCACTTTCACAATATTTAGCACTTATTTTTAAAGTCACAGTTGTGAAAGCACCTGAGAAAGTCTGAATGCTATTTTTCTTCTATTTTTTCCACTGTATGTCTCTAGCTGCCATGACTGCCAGTAAACAACCTGATCCCACAAACCTTACAACCTGAAAATTCAGAAAACATTCATATACTTCCTTTCTTCACATATCAGTTTTTGGTCCTGAGGACTTTTAATGCTTTGACTTAATAATGATGATTTTATCCTCTTCTTTGCTTCTTCCCACAGTAGACAATTTTACTCACACTGTTGTTACTTGATTTCTTTTCAACACATACCAACTCGCGCTGTTAAGTCACTAGCTGTCAGCATTTTAAAACAAAGATTAGCAGCACCAACTACACCTCAGGAAAAACATTTGCACTCCTCACAGCTCAAGTGTTTATTATACACTACAGAAAAAGTGGTGCATTACATTATCTATGTCCCTTTTTCTTATTTCTGCGGGGTTTCACTAAGCTGACAACTGACAACTGCACGCTCGTTTCAAAACTGCAGTAAGAAATAATTATTCTGAAAGTGCTGCATATATAATCATCACAACATAACAGCTAAGATTTTTAAATGCACAAGCTATTTCTTTAGTAACTTGTATTTTGATAAAACAACATACAATTTAACACAAAAAACAATTTTAATCTAGTGAAGAAAGATGTATTTTAGGACCACTTAAAGTAGACAAGCAAGAACTACCTAACAACAAAGAATTTGAAGGCATATATGAGCCTATAATTCACTATGACACAAAGCTATTACCCCAGGAGTCTAGAAAAGTTCCCCTTAAAATCACAGATTAGGAATTTGAAGGAAGATGTTATTTAATTTAAACTCCTTATTCCCAGTTCCATAATTGGTTGAGTTTTTAATACAGTGGTCACAAGGAAGAATAACTGTAAGTCTAGGAAAATATCATGCCTTTGATATTTCTCATGTTATTTATGTAGTATTTACATAGTATTTTACTAAAGTGTCTTAGAAGACTATACAGTGCAAGAGCAGCCTGAATGTAGAATTACTCAGATATTCTGCAGAAGTGGTAATCAGCAGACATTTAGAAACAACTTAATCTTTGTTCCTCTTCCACGTGTATTATCACAGAAAAGAGGGATGCAGGTAAACAGGAAAGGGAGAAATTATTTTTTTATTTGGCATGAGAAAGAACAGATTGTTCAGCATAGCCAATCTGGTTACCTTCCTTAATTCACTTTAAGAATAGCAGCCCAAAAGACATCCTTCCAACAAATCTCCAGAAATTAGTAGCCCTGAGATATATATATAGGATAACTAAATGTCCTCAAACTAGTTTAGATGCTGGAGCAGTCAAGAAAGTTCCTCACTTTCAAGAATAATCCTGATGTGATTTAGTGTTCTATGTTTAGAAACCTTGTTCCACCTTTGAATGTCCATGCCTTACCTAAAAATTATTTTCATCTTACAACTAACCTGGCAATAGAGCTGAGTAATTTGCTCTCCACTCTTACAAGCACGTCAGTCTGTACAGACTGTGATCCTGCACCAAACACCAAGGGCCCAGTGCTCCAGTAAATGCAGGAAAGATCACTATAGCACACAATACAGCAACACCTGAGCCTTGAAGTTCTAATTACACTCAGGATTTTACTTTGCGATATGATGCATTTTGAGAAAGTCTAAACACTTATTTCTACATGAATGTCCCAAATGTGGTACTCTAGGTATATGGTTTTCTCTGGTAGAGGAGAGAGACATTTTGATAGCTTCTGCAGTTAACAAGGAACATATTTTTCTTTGCTTTCCCACTGCTTAAGTCTAGAAAACTCACTTTTTTTTGCAGGAGAGAAGGGCAGAAGAAATCCCAACAATTTCCTACTATTAAATAATCAAATGAACTATTTGCTTTTAAAAGTGTTTTTTAAAACTAAGGAAGAAAAAGTACTCAAACGACTGTTTCCACATGCAAAGGACAGACAAGTTAATCAACTGTCCTCTCTATTACTTTGAATTTTTAACCTAAATTATTTCATTTCAATTATTTACTGCTTCAAAATGCTGTCAACCATTAAAAATTTTTATTTGGTAAATGCTTAAAAGTAGGTCAGTGAAAACAAGCTTATACACAATAATACACAGACACATCAGAGGATTAATATATAAAAATCAAGAGATGAAAAAACTGACCTGCTGCTTCTGGTGTTTGTTTAGTAGGGCTAAAAATAAGATGTAACATCTGGAGCAGTCTGCTAAAGCTGCACAGAAGTCATTGTAGGAAGAAAGTTTGCTACAAACAGAAAAAACAAAACATAAATGAATGAAATTACTTTTTCCACGACAGATTTTTTTTAAAAAAATCACTCTGCTTTCGACTCTAAGAGCTGTATTTTCCAACAAATGAAGTGAATGCCAATACTCTGACTTCTAGCAGAGGCATATGCAGTTACATAAGAGCACAACAGAAGTCTAGATATCCTTGCCACAGTGAACTACGGGAAGAAGCGAACATAAGGAGCTTCCCAACCTGCTTGCCATATGGGCACAGTATGCTAACACCAGCACTTCTCAGCGCTAAATGGGAGAACCGTAACGTCAGGATGACATGCAAACTCAGACAGGAGAGGAAATGAAGGGTCCCTTCCTACTGCACATCTAGAGCCCAACGACAGCACTAACAGAACACATCTCTCATCAGCAAACTGGAGAACGTGCCTCCTTACAGACACGATTCCATCTCTGCGCATTCCCTGACAGCTGCTCCAGCCCCACACGGCTCACCTTGACCATTGCCAAAACAGAGAATCAGACATGCTTCGATCACGCCACAAATACTGCAGTAACAGAACCACCCTGGACAACCTCTTACCTCCCACGTAGTCAAAATCAGGACAGATCTGTGTTGATGTTCAATTACAACCAACTACCAGAAGACTTACAGACTTAGAGAAATGAATAATCTGAAGAGATTGAACATATTCGCTACAAAGAAGCTGCCTAAAGTTACTGATTGAGAGAAAAGAATAATCATTCTGTATTACTAGAAGACAAAACAAAATTCAAATCTGAGCTCCCTACCGCACAGTACACTTATTTTTGTGACTGCAATTTCCAGAAAGCTAATTAAATTGATTTTATGGCTAATTTGTATCCTTGGAGCATGCAGTTCTAAATTTATGAAAAAAAACTGAACCAGTAGGAAGCTTTAAATAAGACAGATTATTTTTGCTCCATATTGAATTCTAGATTCAATGTCCTTTATGTCCTTATCAGAATTACAGTGTAAGTATTGATTACACTTAATGACAAACCCATTACCCCCCTTTCCATGGCATTTTCCAAGTAAAAGAAATGCTCTCTCCTCAGAAGAAGCAAATATGCTCAAAGTGCTGTAATCATTGCCAGAACTCATTTTTAGAAATAAAATTAGCAACAGATGTGGAGAAGGTGGCATGGAATTGGGGAAGTGATTCAAATGCTTCACAGATAGCAAAGGACCAGATTTGCCTGGTTTTAGCTGTGGAGAGGAAGGAGTGACAGCCCCTTATATGTAGCTGCTCTTCAAAGCATGGCCCGATCTCATCCAGAAAGGAGAATATGACAGATGATTTGTCAACAGGAGAAGAAGTCCATAGCAGAATCTCAATGAACATGGAGCCACAGGCAACATGACTCAATACAATAACAAAACAGCAATGGCAAACAATCCAGAACATCATTCATAAACTGTCCTTATAACCCAATAACTCCTGAAATTACCAACAGCTGATTTCACAACTTCTTCAAAATCTTTAAATTGTTTGCAAATCCATTTAGCACTGGATATTACAAGCTGGTGCTTGGTAACTGCACCTGGTAATTTTTTGACTAAGAAACTATTCAGACTGCAAAATGATCTTTTTGGTGACTCACTCACGCTGATCTCCCTCTCAAAAGCACAATTTGGGAAGCAGTCACTGAGCTGCTCATAAAACTGACATTCTTTCAGCACTTCCATCTGCACACTCAAGCTCTGATCCCAGAGATTAATCCCCTCAAACACTCTGTGACAGCTCAGAACAATAAACACTGGTCACATTTTCTCTCTTCTGTATTTTATGTCACAATACACAGTTCCTGATATAACTTCAGGTTGGGTAATTTCTGTCATTCTTTTTTTCTAAATATGGCCTAAAATAGGATTAATAAATGCCTAATAATGTATGCAGCTTTAAAACACAGGAAATGCTAAATCTCAGTCAGAATCTGTGGGATCAAAGAATGACACAATACAACAAAACATTTTTCACAGGCACAATGAATCCGAGCCTGTATGGCTACAAACAAAAAATTCTGTAAGTACTAATAAGGACACAATTATCATCCACAATCATTAAAAGCTATGCAGAGCTTTTTAAAACCCACAATTGGACGTAACTCTTCCAGCTTCAGTGCTTGATCCTGCCTCCTCTGAGGCCACTGGAAGCAGTAGCAGGGACCTGAGTGCACGCAGAACCAGCACTGCGTTCTGTGATTACCTGAGTATCCTGACGATGTAGGTGCACACGTCCTGATCCTTCACACGCTGCTCCAGCGCCACGCAGAGCTCAGAGGCGGCACCACCGCAAATAAGCTGGCACCTTGCCGGAGGCAAGTCAGCCAGGTTTCGCAGAGTAGCTGTCAGCTGCACACAGATTATTTAAACATTTGTTAATCACAGCTTTTTACAACAGAATACACGTTGCTTTGAAAATTTAATAAAGCTCATGTTTCATTTGTAACATCTAAGGCAGTCTGAATGTCCTGTCCACGTTCTGTAGGTATGGTGTAGACACCAATAAATAACAACAGGAAACGTGTAAGCCACAAGATTGTGTATCTGAGGTAACTGTTTGAAAATGAGAGATTGATGCTGCTTTTGCCTGCGTGAAAACTCCTCCTTTGAGGGACACATGATCTTTAATACATTTTAAAATCTTTCGTGTGTGTCTGCAAACTTGGAAAATAGGTGACATGCTGTAGATGGTTAAAATAATTTTTTGCATAATGTCTGATTTTGCAAATTTGTATTTAAGTGTTGCAAATTAATACTGATATATAATGTATATTTTAATAATGATACTAAGTTGCAAACTAATATGAATTTATTTTAAAAGGCAATAACATTTATTCCAATTAAAAAAATAAAAGTTAACCGAGATCAAGATAAATCCACTATAATATATACTATATATAATAAATACTCATATAAATATATTTACAATATGTATATTTATAATATAAAAATGAAAAGTTTAAGTGCTCAAACTTACTTGGAGCAATCAAAATATTTTCACATGATATTGTTCAACTTGAAGAAGCTTTAAGCATAAAATAACTAACATTTGCAGATATGCAAAATGAATAAGCTATTGAATACTTTGAAATATTCTGGTTGTCTTCCGAGGTAAGAGCATTCAAATGCCAAGGTCAGGCAAGCAATGACATAGAAATTAATCTTGATTTAATCCAGAACTTACTATAAAATGAATGTGAAGTCATTCAATCTTAAGTGAATATGGGAATTCTTCAAATTTCCCTTATTCAAAGAGTGAAGTTATTAACATTAATTTGGTTTTAAATGTAGTTTGATAAGGCACACAAACTATCTGTTCAAATTGTTTGTTATCACAAAAAGCTCCGGAAATTAAGTCTTTTATCACTAAATTGCACTGCTTGTCCAGTGATATGTAATTGCTAATTTTAAAGAAAAACTCCGACAAGGAGCAGGTTAAGTCGTTGTGTTTGAGCTTTTGCACATGGGATTCTATGCACTACTCTGTCCATTCTCCAGCAGCTTTCAAATTTGCTGTCCCATTTCAACAAATTTGACAATAGTGGACGTGTCTTCAGTTACCAAAGGATGTTCTGGAGCAACAGGAGAAGAAACAATGGGTCGAAATGGAGAGGCAAGGCACAGGGGGAAAAATTACGTGATAATGTGAATGTGATATGTGAATGGATTTAGCTTCAGCACTAAATATGAAATCTATACTATACTCAGAATACACAGAAAGTGAACCTATGGAAGCCCTTTGCATTATATCGCTTATATTTTAGGAAGACATCTGGAGTTTTTTTGTTATTTTAACTGAACAACTGCAAAAAAAGACGTTTCCAGATGCGCATTCTTTCTCAAGGCATGATGCTTCAAAAATTAACACAATACTGGAGACAGATTTTAATAAAAATACTTTTGATGAAATACTTTACTTTTCAAAAGGTTTGATAGAAAAATTGTCAAATGGAACAGACAAAAAAGGCTCCATTCAGTGCTCACATACAAGATGTTCACAGTCAGCTTAGGATGATATTTGTTGAATTCTAGCTAAGCCTCACAACAAAGAAAATGGAGGATGAATCACATATTAAAAGTGTTACTCAAATGCAGACCAGAGTTTTTACTGCAGAAAAGAGACTTACATATTAGACAAAGAAAAAGCCCAAATCTTTATCACTAGACAATGGTGTAGAGGTTTCCAAAAAGAGAATAAACTTTTTCACTGCCCGAGACAGATGGTTCAAAATTCTCCAGCAGTAAATTCTATCAAGAGCCATTCTCAGAAAAAGAGAGATTGGAAAGGAAAAGTAAGGTAAAATAACATATACACTTAAATGTGGCAAGACAATGACAATCAGCAGTTCATAGAACACAAAGGAACAGCTAATATGCAACTGAAATTTGAAGAGTACAATTTAAAAAATAATAGAAGCTAGACAGCAGATGAATTCTGGAGAGATTCACATTGCTTCAAGCAGACACACCATGATTCAGGGAGAAATGCATAACAATTGGTTCTAGCAATCCCCACCAGCCCTAATCCTTATCTTGCCATGTGAAAGATCAAATTCACCCAAATAGAAAATTTAACTGCAGACAAATGCTATTTTTAAAGAAGAAGACATTTAAATTCTTTTCAATTAAAGAAAATGGAGTACTTGTTAAGTCTTTTCAGTGACAGTTCAAAAATCCTGGTTTTTGAATAAGTATTACCATATTTTGTATAAATATAACCAGACTATTAGGTTAAGCGACATAAAATGAGCCAAAGATGACCCTGGTTTCTCCATTAGGGGAAAAACCCCAAATTATTGCAAACATTTTTATTTTTGTATTGTGGGACTTCTGCATAAAACCCATTGTGGAAGAATGAAGAAATCAGATAGGGACTTTATTCCCACAAAAAGGATCTAGCAAGATTATGTATAACACTGCCATCTGGTGATTGTGCAATTATACAGTTATGGAATGAAGACCTGGTCCCAGTTAATCGAGATACTTCAGCTACCAGGATTAAAAGATGGCAGAGCCTCCCTCAGAGACCACTGCGAATATTTAGGGTGCTTTTCTCCTCCAATATAATTTGCTCTCTATCCCTGAAGACTTATATTTATTCTTTATTTCTGTATGTCACTGGATATTCGATCTGTTGCTAAAAGTTACAGTATGCGACAAAAATCATGTTTATTCTGAGGACACGAACCACAGAAAAAGCTTTCTTCGTACTCTATCCCTGGAAACAGAACTATTCCTTCATCTATGACAACTGAACAATTAACTCACATGGAAGAAGTGCTGCACATAGATTTGGTGAAGGAACTGATATGAGAAAGTTGCACAGGAATTCCATAGCAGTAGGAATCACTACTTTTCCCACAAGAGGAAGAAAAGCGAAGTATCTGTATTACTATAGAGGAGAAGACAAACAAGTGAAAGAGCAGCCTCAGTGAGAGACAGTTGTCAGTACGACTTTTCCACAGAATTCAAGGCCTTCTTAGAAACAGCCAGTCTATTCAAACTGTAAAAATACTTCTGTTACACTTCCAATTCTACTGAAAACAGCAGAGAATGAGAGATTTTAAAAAAAGAGGTGTAAAATGTAACATTTTCCTTTCACACATTTACAAATTAAACTCTTGATCTAAAAAACTAAATTTATCCACATGCAAATAATTAAAGAAAAACATTTCTGCAAAGTTCTGGGGAAGTTCAGACAGCTAGCCAAAATGTTGAAAATAAATGGATTCATTAGTTTTGTTATTTAGCCATCATTTGTTATTTTAAATGCCCCAAATGGCAAAGACTTCTTTTTATATCTAACTCACATAAATTTCCATCTCTTTTGACTCAACAATATTCCCTTTATATGTATTATATGATTAAGGCCAACAGCAGCTATCAAACATCAGTAAATAATATACTTTGCTTTTACCCATTCCCATCTCGCTCTCAGAAGGATAAATATTTTTAAAATACACAGACATGAAAAAAGATACAGGATACATCTCTCTAATATAGGTTTCAAAATACCTATGCTGAGAACAGAATCTATTCTGGACCCCTCAACGCCTGTGATGGTTCTACCTAAACTGATTGCCTAAGCTGGCACTAGAGTAGTACCAGGACTTAAGAAGTATAACCAGAAACATTCAGGAAAAATACGGTCATCAAAATCTTGACTATGTGCAAAACCCTGAAGATTGTACATCTTCTCTGGAAAAAAAAGGCTTGGAAATCCCATATATAATTTTTGTACAGAATATAAGGTGTGATATCAACAAAATGGCACAGATTATTTTAGAATTGTTTGGGGAGTTCATAGTGCCACAAGAAAGTTAACATGCCAAATACGGGAACTTAATGATGACAGGACCAGAAAGGAAGGAAATAGGAACATGACAAGCACAAAATTTCCAGTTTCATCATATATTCTCCCAGTTTCGAGCAATTTGCCACTTCCTTTGCAAAATATAAGTATTAAGCCACACCATTTCATTCAGTGTTCCGTAGCATCTCCTGATCTATTTATGTTTGTTTTAAGATTATACACACTACTCTGCACAGACATACCTCATAGCACCACTAAAACAACAGACCAAAATCAGTAACAGTAATATGAGGACATATGCTATTTGTTTTCTCGTACAATTTCAAGAAGTTTAATATCTATTGCTTGTAAGCTAGCAAATAATTAAAGAAACCTGGCACAGTTAGTAACAAACTTAGTGCAAATACTACCTCAGAAAGTTGTCCAATATATTTTCCTATGAAGTCCACAGAAGTGACAAAAGCCTTCTACCTTGATAAAAAAAGGAATCTACCTTGATAAATAACGAAAAACTCTGTGTTTCTAAAACACTAAGGTTTAAACAGTTTTAGAGCAAAGGATTAGTTTTCATAGCCACCATTCATCAAGGTGCCTGAGCCTGCTGCCTTCAAAAGATTCGAAAACTGTTCACTTTTGCAAGCACTTTTTCCTTACATTAAAGTTCTTCAAAAACACTTTTTGAAGTGTTTTTGACATAGCTATATTTTCTTATGCATTTTTAAAATACATTATTCTTGTAATAAAAAGTTTTTTGTAATCTCCTAAAGTATTGCAGAACAAGTTTGTATTTAGTATTTCAGCTTAAAGAATTTAAACAGAGAACACATTTTTATCTGTTTACTATAATATCCAGAACATTACCAGCATCATAAAGTAATAATGAGAAACTGGTTTATTAGGTACCTAAAAATATTTCTATAACTTCAGAATTTCTAAAGCCTTTAAAATTGACTACACAAAAATATCCATGGTAATTCAATTTAGGTCCTGAACAACTTCATTAAACTTCTTAAAAAGAAGTCAACTGAAATATAGGTACAATTCTGTCAGTGGCACACAGGGTTAGCTTATCTCCTCTAATTAAATTTTTAATTTGCCCTTGAAGTGTGTACTTTTAGAAGTAAAAGTAAATGCTAACCTGGACTAACACGTGGCCCAACTCGGAGAAATATGTGTCATTTTCTTTTATGTTATTAATCTGCTTCATTAATTGCAGCAACATTTCAACAGCTCCTTTGTTGACCATTTCATTAAGGAGTACTGCATTTCCAGACATGAATTTTATAGCTCCCATGCAATAGAGGAAAGCTTCGTTGTTTTTTTGTAGATCTTCATTTCTCAGAACCTCCAACAAACAATCTAAAAGGAAAATCATTATTCAGAAACTCTAATATTAACATTTATATTTGATACAGTCCAGTCATTGAAGAGATGAACAATTGGGAAAAAACCCTCAGATTGAACTCTTACATTTCTAATAAGTGGGCTAGAAAAATTGGGTATTTGGATTGAAACCAAGAAACAATTATCGATGAATAAGAGAATGGGCCTGACTTTTGTTCTCCCAGGCTTCAAGAACCAGTGTAAGTTGTAAACACATAGCAGGAATCACTGAAATCACCATTTGCAAAAGTGATTGTCTGTGCCTGGAATTTTGTGTACTAAACTTGATGCATTCCGAAGAGGTTTATTTTCACTACTTCCTTAAAAATCAAATGCCTTAAAGTATCTCTAATGGAGCACTAAAAAGCACAGGGACCTAACTCAAATCTCACATTTGAAATCTGTTCATAGCCTTTTTAGATTTACTTTTTATGTAGGTAAAGTTACTGTAAAAGTCCTGTTTTATGCTACCAGTGTCAGATATCTGAAATGTTAATTTTAACAGTTGATAATGGGCACAAGCTCAGTGTATCTTTCACAGTCAAATGGAGACATTCTGAATTTGGTGAGGGTATCTTAAACAAATAAGTAATCCTGACCAACTTTATAGTTTTGAATTTCTAGTAACTGATTGAAACAGATATTTATTTCTGCTGACTATGTTCCATCAAGTTCCAGTTGAATAAAAGCTACATGATTGATGTACACTCACACCAGGCTCTTGCTCAATCTCTCCCCCTACCAACTAAATCACCTGGGTTGTGGGAATGTAAGAAATCAGTTTCAGGTTCCTGCTCTGCTCAATATTAAACAGGGTCTTGAACAGTAGTTGTCTATCTTAGGATGAACAATTAACTTATTTCTTCTACTAGAGCTGCTCCACTGCACACGAATAGTTCACAGGGCCAAAGGAAGAAAAAGAAATTAAATATATAAGCCAGTGACTGCAACAGTGGTGATTATGATGTAAATCCAGGCTCATATCTTCTGCCTGGATAAGTTGGGTCCAAAACATAAAGACTGAAAAGCAAACAAACCAACTCCTACCAAGAATGTTCTTTCTTCATTACTTTTTAAAATACAGGGAAAGAAGAGCAAGTGAAAGACAAGTGAATGAAGATGGAAATGAGAGCAAAAAACCCAGTGCTTACACACACATAGCCACGTGACTTGCCCAGATGCTATGTATGATGCTAATCTCTACAAAACTGTAGTTTTCAGTATCCAAAGTCAAAGCAACCTGAGCTGTTCTCTTTTCTCTGAGTCCTTTCCTTACTACTGGAAAGGTTTATCTTATCTTTATTTCTGACAACAATTGTGTACTGAACTTTAAGACCATGAATACTCTCATCTAGTTAAGCAGATACACATATGCCTTAACTTACATGCAATAAAGGTTTGCAAGATCAAGGCCTACATTAACAAAACATCATGACGTTTTAATGAAATAAATGACTATAAAATGAATACTGAGTATCATTCACACAATGTCATTTTCTTCATAATTCTCATATTTGCAAGGGGTTTGTGTGCAGGACACAAACACTGCTACAATCACAAAAGAGATCTTAGCGCCACTGCTGACAATTCTCCAAAACCATCGCCTCAATGTGCAGCAGCAGCTATAAAAAAAGAGAGGGATTGTTCTCAAGATCCTCCCTGATGATGGCCAACAATACAGTCAGCATTATTTCATTCCTATAAAATTTGGTGCAGACACAGCTTGAATTCTATACAGTCTTGTACTGTAAATCTCAAGAAGGATCTACTGGAGTTTGAGAAGCTACAGAGAAGAGCTTATAAAACAATGAATGACACAATATCCTTTCAAAGAGAGAGCTAAAATGCTGAGATGGCTCAGTCTTGAAAAGGATAAGGCAGAGATACGTGATATGAATGTGGTTTAAAAAATCGTGAAGGGTAAGCTGACTAGAAACTCTCACAAATCCTGCAAAAACTACAAGCAGGGGGATAATGAAAAGTACATAGATTTAAAACAGCAGACAGAGAATTTCCAGAAATTGTTGTTCTGTGAAATTGGAGAAGCAGATAGAATCAAAAAGTTCAAAAAGGAATTAGGCAAATTAATGAACAAAATATCTATAAACAGAGATTAAAAAGGAATTAGAGAGGGATGCACCACCTAATGTCCCTTAAAGAATATAACACTTCTGAATGCTGAGGGAGTACAGGGAAAACATCACAGAAAACATGTAGGCTTCGATGCTCTCCCTAGACAGCATCCCCTGCTGCCATTGTTAGTTATACACAGAATACTGGACTAGACCAATCATTAGTTGGATGTAGTAAGCAATTTTTAATCCATCACTAAAGTTAACTCTGAGAACATTTCCTGAAAGATGAACAATCTAACTGCTGAATGTCAACATCTAACTTACAGACAAGACCAGAATACATACCCAATAATCTATCATTTTGAACGATGTAATCATTTTTTTCATTCCTGCAGATTTTAAATGCCAGCTTGCAAACACTAAGAAGATTTTTTCCATCCACTTTCATCTGCAAAAAAAGTAAAAGACATAATAATTACAACTAAAATCGATATACAAAAATGCACCATAACATTCTACAAGTTTGACACCGTGGCAAACTTGTATTATGAGCGAGCTATTAAAGTCCAGATGCAACCCTAACAATATACTAAACCAAACTGAAAAATCTGCAGAATTAAAGGACTCTGAAACACAGATAGTTTAAGTTTTATTTAGCACTGTGCTGACTGACTTTAGTGATATGCAAATTTTAATGTAGTAAACCTGCAGGTAGTATATCAGTAGCTTGCAGTTTTACTTCTAATTCACTCTTAGAGGTAAATTCTGTACAGAAATCAGTGGTTTAGCATCTATGGCCATACCACAAAGAACGCCAGTACAACAGTACATGTCATAATGAAACTTATGCTCAGATATCAGAAAAGATCTTACAATGTTGTAATGGTCACTGAGAGATCATGAAAGGGAAGTTACAGTGGTAAAAATACAATGACATATGTCTTCCTGTCCTCTGCATTTCAAGGACAATTTCTTCTACATTCATGATTTTTTAATAGATTCCACAGAAAAATGTCTGTAAGGGAGCTCTTCTTTTAATAAGCACCACTTAAACATCTATGTAGTATCTGAGTATAGAACTGTATCTTCTGATTAAAATAATTTACACACTGCCTTAAAGGAGCACACATGCCTCCCCCAACACACACATACAAATTACTAAAATGTCTCCAACACAATGCTAGCTGGCATCCTTTCACCAGTGACTGTCCATACATACTTCGTAGAACATGAATCAAGAGGTTCAAAGAGGTTTAACCAGAAATACTAAAAAAAGAGACTAATTACACTTACTTTCAAAAAAAAAAAAACCAAAATTCTGTTTTGGTATTTTCAGATAAAGGTGTTTAATAAGGTCATGATATTATTCAAAAACTAAGCTTCATTTCTAAATTCATGTCTAAATTTTTTAATTACTGTTTTGTTCAAATCCTTGCATGTGTATCCCAGCTTAGGACACTGCCTCTTTTCCATGCCTATACAATATTCCTGTCACCATACACCAGCTACCCTATTTTGTGCCCTTCCTTCCTCCCCCAGATGTAATTTCTCTGAAAAAGACAAGCTCCAGCACGTGCTGATGTAGATGAATGGGAGCCTAGTATCTCTGTGGTAGTAAACTGTACTTAGGAAAGGGTTACTTTAGATGCAGATTAAAAATATTAAATAAAAAATTAAATGCAAGTTGTAATTCATGATTCACATTCTACCAAACAGCATTTCAAAACACTTACAGCCAGAATAATCTTTGCCAGCTTCAGGCAAAGTGGATCTGAATCAATGTCTACAAGTTTATATAATGTCTTCAGAAGCTCACTTCTTCTTTTAAATTGTTTTCCAAGCATATTTCCTTCAGTCAGTGCTTGATAGAGCTTAGTACAAGCCAGACAAAGATTTTCTATATTGTCTTCTACTTGAAAGGTGTAGGAAGGGAGAGAAAAATAAAAAATAATTATCAGTGCCACCTTATCCAGAGCATCTCAAACAGATAAAGACAGGGGAGAACAAAATAAAGAATGGGTTGCACAACAACAAAAATAAGGCACCAAATAAATCTTTTAAAATGATAACATGATACTCAGAAACAGTTTTATTTTGCTTTTTAAAAAAGAGGAGACTCAAGAAGTCACAGAGCCAAAATAGCACCTAGAGCTAAAACGAAACTCACCTTTAATGCTTATAATCAGACTGATCAAATGTCTACCAGGAAACTGTGCCTCTGGATATATTCTTTAAAGTGTTCTTACCAAACATTACATAGGAAAAAGAATAATGAATATTTTTCTCCCTATATACATAAATTTATATATCAAACCGTGCTGGGATTAAGAGTAACTGAACATAAAAACTTGTTTACTTGTGTAAAAACTAGAATGTATAGCAGAGGTGCAAGATACATTTAAGTAGGATGTTGGCCTAGTGACAAAAAAGTCATCTACTTCCTCACTCAAGTCCCCCAAACTCTATTTAAAACATACAAAGATAAAACCTACAGTAAGTTATTACAAAAACCACATCTCAGCACAATGGAACATATTCTATTTAGAGAGAAAAGGAAAAGTCTTGTCTATTTTTAATATTCAACAGTGAGGTTTTTTTTTCTCTTTTCTTACATTTGCTTTTGTCTATAAGGTGATACTTACAAAGCACCATGTAAATCCACTTAAGCTGCCTGTATAAACTCTGCATTTACTCAGGATGTGCTTCACAGTTAAAGTAGAGTCATACTCAAGGAGGCAAAGCACTTGTGATGAAATATGTATGGCCAGGATATTACAACAAAAAACATGTCTGAGGCCCCAGACCTGTCGGCAGATTCAAGGACCCATCTCTCATGCTGAGCAGTGCCTGGAAGCTCTCAATTTGCAATCATCGCACTCAAGGAACAGCAATGACTATTCCATTTCTACCCCCATCGTGACAGAAAATTTAACAAAATTTAGCATTATTCTAAATACTCTGCTCCAGTAAGCAGGAACCAAAACTGAATGGTCTCACACTCCATTTGATCAAAATTAACAACAACAAAAATTATTCATCACTCATCCCATGGGACGTTTTTGAAGCTTATTCTCCTGAGTACTGGAATGTAACAAAACAAATTTTGTTCCTCTAGAAAAAGAGACTTTGGAGATTTATTAGTTTTTGTCATATAACAATCATCTCAATCATATCATATTCAGAAGACTTTAGACAATAATTCAGTTCCAGATCAGAATTCAAATTTGTTTTTGAATGGAAAGCTTTCTGCAAATATTTTTAAGGGAGAAAGAGGAGGAAAAAGGCTTTTCTATTAATATCTGAAAAGCTAAATGTGAACTGAATGCATGTGCAAGGAATTAGCTGAAAGGTATGAAGCAAATGACTACACATGAAATTAAAAAATATTAAATTACTAACAGGCCTACTCAAAACATTAAAATTATGGAATTCTAATATTCATGTTTATAAGAGAAACTGTAACTATGCAGCAAACAGCCTAAAGAAAGCAATATATCACGTGGCTGCAGGAGGTAATGATGCAATTCAGTTACAATTTGTGTGAATATTCAAGAAGCAGCGAAACTCAACTTTTAAGGTTTTTGTAGCACTGCATTCAAACAACTGCTGAGAAAGTATCATTAGATAATGTCACCTGTTATTAGAAAAACTATGCCCTAACCAAGTTTTCAAAAAGCTAAATAAACCCCAACACACTAAAAAATCAAGTAAAGACTGAGGAAAAGGGGCATGACAATCCATTTCCCTTAGCTACATTCATGACAAGGGAAAGACATGATTAGATTTTACCTCTAAATTTTATTTTGCTTACCAATAAAACTATCACACTGTGCAAAACTATATCTCAGTGGCTCATATTTGACAGTCTTGGCAATAAGCAACGAAAATGTGAAGTTGCATAGCTGTTTTCAAATTTCCTGATGACTGTTTTTCTACCCACCAGTGACAGATATGGGAATGAGAATCCTGCCTTTTTAAAATAATTACATATTTGGGGAATCACTTAGTACTGTACTGGTGTTTCATAGTCATCAACATCTGCAAAACTATGCAAAAAAAATTCCACTCTGTATCATGCTACAACAAACACTGCAAAGATCCTGTAAAACAGAACCACTTGTAAAAACAAATCTACTTTCTATATTTCCACCATTCAGATAAATATAGTGCCTGCTGAAAGCAACTGAACAACCTTTTGAATGAAACATTAAAATGAATTTCAGAGTTTCAAACCATATTTAATTTACTCAATTTTGCTTCAATATTCTGTGTCATTACATCCTTTTCTGATAAATCTAATATTTTAAGCATAAATGGAAATTTTCATTAAGATTTCCTTAGTTTTCTAAAATTAATTGAGACCTTCAATACAGTCTACAGTTAAAGAAGTGAATCTGTGCAGTGCTTTACTCTTAAAATTATTACCTCATCACTGACTGCTAAGCTAGCAGAGCTCTGTGATCTAAAGTAAGGTACTTTAGTCAGACAGTATCTTCTCCAAACCATTTCTGTTGTGGTTTTTGTTTGTTTGTTTTGTTTTGTGTTGTTGTGGTTTTTTTTTTACAGAATCACAGAATGGTTAAGGTTGGCAGGGACCACTGGAGGTCATCACTCCTGGTACTCACACTGGTACGACTTCCCTGCTCAAGCAGGGCCACCTAGAGACAGGTGACCCCTAGAGTGCCCCGGCTAGTTTTACACCACAAAGTCACTGAACACACCAAAGCATAAAAGGCCACATAGTCCAATTACTGTTACTATTTCGTAGTAAACACAGATGAGTCTCATGCTTCCCTCAGGAAACAGTACAGAAAGTAAACCCTTTCAAAAACAGTGTTACCCACTTTTTTTCAGTTCATGCAGAATTGGTAGAATCTTTATACGCCAAAAGACTTCTTCCTCTTCGCACTCATTTATTCTTGTTTCATCCTCTAAGCCTTCAAAATACATTCAAAACAAAAACACACATTCAGTTTCAATTTCTACACAAATGAATAGCTACAAATACTTTATTAGCCCATCAGAAAAAAAAACCTAAATGTCCCATTTTGCTATAATCTGGGCTATTTCACCCACTCAAGCTTTTGTTTTTATTTACATTTTCTCAGAACCAAAAGCTTCAAACAAAACTAGATGGATAAGTATTTTGATATGTAAAGCTGTACTATAAAGCTCTGTTTGCTGACATCAATGTTTCATTTGATTGCTGAATTTGAAGGTAACGACTACTTGTATATCAACGTGTCCTACTATTTTTCAGCTCTGTGTCCACATGACAGCTTATTCTGTGTTTAAAAAAATCCATACAGCAGACAATCCTCTAGCACTGTACAATTTTATCTAGTGCACATGTATGATATTACACAAAAATTGATTCACCAACTCTTTGGTCACTTAGTGAAAACAGTCTTATTAGTTATTACACTCTGTTAGCCATTCTAACTACTTCATGCAAATATTTTTGAGAACTTCACAACTAAATTTTTTTAAAATGCATGTTTCCCTCCTATGCTTTATTGCATTCAACAATTTTTCACACAGTAACCTGGGAACTAATAGAAAATGTTTTGCCTCCAATAAACACACCAGAAATCTTCAAGGCAACCAACTCCCAGTTTTCTTGGTCACACTCAAACAATTTCCTGTGACTGAGAAAAAGCTACTGTTTGTTATCAGAAACCTTGTCCACTTAACAAAGAGAAGTGCTTAAAAATATTTCAGCTTTTTTTATACTTTGCTTCAAAAAGAAAATAATTTTTAAAAAATCTATCACGGACATCAAGTTAAAAATTGGAAGACCAAAAAATCAGTGGAATAGACTTTTGGAAACAGGACTGGGAGCATGGACCTGTGTTCAAATTGGACACAGGAGTTGGTGAAACACAGTTTATTAAAAAGTGGATCCAGGACTGACTTTCATATGGATGCAGTATCACTGGGAATTATTCTGACTTGCTGAGCATTCTTTTCACGTTCACCAAGCACTATGAGAAATGACAGAATTCTGGCCTTAACCACTGGTCCACCACAGATGGAGAGCCAGAGTTTCTGTGCAACTTAAGATTTAAAGGATCTAACAGTTGCTTACAAAGGTGCATACAGGCATATGTTTGGAGTTCAAGACTGGGTTAAGCTCTTTATCTTGCAGGCAACCCTAGTAGTTGTTATAAAGACAGGGTATGGCTTGTTGTCTTGTGCTTGCTTTGTTTGTTTTTTTTTAATAGGGAAATAAAAGTCACACAACACCACTAAATAACATGAAGAAAGTCATTAAGACTAGTATATATACCTTTTTTTAAGTGACAGATTTGCCTGAAAGTGTCTCCTGGTGTTCATTACTAGCTCTTGCATTTAAAGGGCAATATAATTATTATAAGTCCTTAGCATAATCATCACCAAACACAAAAAATACCATACTACATGAGAACACCAATGAGAAGTTTGCCTCATAAGAGCAGTGTCTCAGACCTTAAAACAATGACTGTCTACTAAGCATTACTTGGAACTCTGAAACAATTAAAAACTTCCTAATTTAAAAGCTTACTCTTTAGAAAATAATCCAGATTCTTTTTCTGATCTGTATTAACTGTCTACCTACATTTTTTACACAATGAATCTATCATATATATCTATTTCAACAGATTATACAAAAATGCTGTTTCATAAGTAATACACTGGTAAGTTTATTATTACAATAACTATTATATTGTTGGTGTTTATTTACATATATACATATTAGTACACTTTATTAGCTAATATTATTGTTACTTATTTTGCAGACCATTTTTATATACTAGACCAAATGAGTTGATAATCTTATTTAGACTGATAAGTAGCTTAATTAATAAAACACTATGCAGTATTTGCAATGAAGTAAAAGTTCTGCTCTGGGAAATGCAATAGCAAAGGCGAAATGAGAACTCTACAATAGTTTGCACTGTTCCTTCCTGCCACAAAACCCACATATTGACTCAATGATTTCTTTTCTTTCTGACTTGTTGTTACCTCTCTGAAAGATGAGACATTTTCTAACTACACACATGCTTAACTTCATCAGGCAAGAAACAGAATAGTTCAGGCACGCATTTGCAGATAGAACCAAACTTCTCATTTAAAAAAAAAAATTAACAAAGCCATTTAATTTCCCATTCAGAACGAAAAGAATGGATTTTTCTGTACCACTCTGTTTCACTTGTCCATATTCACCAGAAAATGAAAGTCATAATGGTATAATTTTTTAAAACAAATATCTCTTATAACTAGGACAAAAAGGAGATAATCAGCTTTTACTAAACAATATTAATCCTAGCAATAAAAATGAACTGAAAATACTTGATTATAAAGAAAAGTAACATTAATAAATTTTAAACTTGTATGTGTCTCAGTCCTGGGAGATTTTTTGCTGATGAAAAGTTAGGGTACTAGCTGTATTTAAAATATTGCAGAAGCTGTCCTGAACTTTCCAATTGAGTGAATCACGATTCAACAGGAAAAACACTCAAGCAAAAGAATGCAGCAAGTTGGAGTTGGTTGTCTCAGTTTTTCATAGGTCTTAACTGCTGCTTTGCATTCTGGTCAAAAAAAAAAAAAAAAATCACTAATCAGTCTACATTTATTGGTTGCTGTTTTTAGCATGTAAATACAAGAGCCTTAGCAACACTGAGCTTTCAAAAGCTGTGTGCTGCCTGACTTAAAATGTTTAGCCTTTTCACTGAATACTGAGTGGTTACGAATAGATCCATATTAAAACATTCTATCTCCTCTCTAAAATGTAAAAGTATAAGCAAAAATCTTACTAGAATACAGAAACAATCTTTAAATGAACACTCCATCCAAGACCCCACTACAGAGAAGAAATGATGGAGGATTCCTACTGCTATCCCACTGTTTATTCTAGGATTAATGATGAAGCATGCACAGACTAAGGAAACTACATGATGTTAAGAAAAGTAGATATAAAAAGAAAAAATCCTAATAACACACATGATTTTTTTTTAATAACACAAATAAAATAGCACAAATAAATTAAAAGGCTTTTAAGAATACTAACTCCCATGACATGGTAAATACTCTCAGCCTCTCTGAAGGAAATGAAAGCAGAGCACTATACAGCCTTTGCCAGAATGATCCAGAGTAACACAACTTCTTAGTTCTAGAAAAATAGTAATAAAGAATAATGACATTGCAGAAGAAAATTCAGGTTTCCATACCAGACTCTCACACTTACAATGTGTCAAACATGCCAGTTACGAGGAAATATTAATTAAAATCTGGCATGTTAAGTAAGCAAAATGCATCCCTACATGGCAATCCAGAATCTGTTTCTTCAGATAATATAGCCTGGCATAACTTTATCATTTTCTGTGCAACTACAACAGATTACAAAAAGTGACAGGCAAACAAGATGTTAATGGATTGGCAAATTCTTAAGCCTACATACGGGAAAAGCAAGAGAGAAAAATATCAACAGATTTTTAGAATGAAGATCTCTTGAATACTGTTTCTCTTTACTAATATCAGTAAAAACCCCAATATATCTAGAAAACCAAATACTGTTCAGCGAATAATAAAGAAAGAGATCTTCAAATCACAAAAATTAGATTATTGATATTTGACTTCACATCTTTTGAATGGAGATTGAAATGCCTTACAAAGTACCTGCTACTCTTCTCTTCCAGCCTGAACTCTTTGGCCATGATGAATTTATGCCAGGCTCTCTCATCTGGTTACTAAAAGACACAGTATGGACACACAAAATTATTATCATAATGCAATTCTCAAAATGCTGGTTTCTTCACATACATTCAGCATATTAATAACTAATTGGAAAAGATTTTGATATTTTACTATTTTACTACTGCTCATTAAAAGTGACATATGAATACAACTTCCTCCAGTACCAATTACAGAAAGCTCCTTCAGAAATACTGACATATTCACACCACAAGAGGTCACCATTATGGAACACAAAACCTAAAGCATTTCCATTCGTACAATAAAACTGAAAGATGAACCAAACTAAATTCAGGAAGAGCCAATTTTTATTTTATCATCAGTTTCACTAACTGAGTATAAACTCAACTAGCTTAAAACTGTAACTTCATCCATTCACAAGGACAGGATTATTTTTCTGACAGAATTAACATTTTAAAAAGATTTAATGAAAAGGTTTAGTAACCTTTAAAGAATATATTAAAATTTCCAGGACTACCAGTAAATTATTGCTAACTGCGTAGTGGTCACTAGTTCTGTTAGTACAAGAAACAGGTATGTTGCCATTTCTTTGTAAAACAGTAATAAGTAATGCTGTAATTCCTGCTGATTTTATGGTCAGTCTTTCTTTGGTCAGAGGAAACTACTACACACACACCTGTAATAAGCCTATTTATTCTGTTTGCCTATTTACACACTCAAACAGCACTGATCTTAAAGCAATATACAAGATGTAGATTCCCTGCTATTAAACTGGAGTCTTTCCTCCTTTAAATTCCATACTAAAGATAAAGGTCTTAATTAGTGTTTTCTATTCTCAATGTATCTTTAATTTAACACTTCTTATTCCATTTAAAGTTCATGTACCAATACAACCTAATCTCCTGAATTTCCTTCTAAAGATGACAGTAGTGTGTTAGCAATGTGATTTGATTTTTTTTAACCAGTTAATTTAGTTACTACAAGGCTTTAAGCTAAACTGTTGTTTAAGTGGTTTGCTGGATTGGCGCCTAAATCCTGTCTGTCAGTCCAGACAGAAGATGTAAGTCATCCTATCAACAGATGGAGACAGAATAAAAGACAAAGCCCTTGCAAGATCAGTTCCCTACAAAAGGGAGTGGATAGCTCACTGTGATCAGTCAAAAAATTCCCAAGCAATCACATTACAGGGGAACAGTTGCTTCATTATGGCTAACAGGGAATAATGCTTTCTTTTTACAGCATGTGGATTTAAGTGCTCCAAAACCAAAATGCTTACACAAACTATCTTGAAATTATTTCAGCTCATATACAGCAACTTCTACTCCTCTGAGGAAGCAATGTTTTAAAAAATAATAACAATTTTAAAAAAAAGACAAGAGCTTGCATTTCTACTCTAAAATTGTCTGACACCTCTAAGAAAGAAGAGTTTTACAGCACACATTAAATACAATTCAGTGCCTTGACAGAAACTAAAATTTGATTTCGTTTATGTGAATACCTTGTCCTATAAACTTTAGAAGTTTCAGAAATGTTTCTACAAGTTTCAGCCACCCCTGAAATCAAGACTATAACCTGAAAAGTCACTGGATAAGCAGGAGAATAAATTCAACATGATGACACCACATGCCTGTATGAATATGGATGTTTGAGTTTGCTCTCCTCAGAAAAAGAGTTTTGTAACTATATCCCATTTGTGCTTCTTCCCTGAAAATGTAAATCCCCACAATGAATCCAAGAAACCGCAACAAAGACAATCCTATGAGTTTTGTTGGAAGTAAAAGCAGATTAATTGAAAAAGACACTGAAGCAAAGGATGTGGTAACTTACTAGATAGAAACACCATATATGCGAGATGTAGAGTGAGGCCATGACAACTGCACAAAAAAAAGTTTGGTTGGAACCTGTTGTTTCTTAAAAACCAGTATCAACCAGTTCAGAGACTTAAATGAGTAGGAAAGCAGACAGCTTTACTGTTGGTATTCTGTTTAACTATCTGTGCTTTTGGGAAACATCCTTGTAAATTACTGGTACTGTCATTATTTTCAGAAAAAAGAATACACTGAATACATATATAAATGAGAATGACTGGTGGGCAGGCTTATCTTCAGGGAGTATGAACAATTTACGAATTTTGTGAGAGATTATAAAATCACTTTATATATCTTCACCATTCTGCCAACTTCATTTTAGTTACAGAGACTTTCACTTCATTATCTTTACATATCTTTACATTTTTTTACTGAAACTTAAGCATCTTGTTAAGAACAATGCAGTTAAAATGTAATCAACCTATTCTAAAAACTAAGTTCCTACTATTGAAAGGAACTGGCTTCAGAGTGGTTGCCTAGGAAACAAAGTCAATTGGCAGAAATCTGATCATCTGATAAGGGGCTCATCAAGACATTAACTGACAGAGGCTCTGATGACTTACAGAAGAAAAGGAACTTGGCAACTGGATCATCTCTATCCTTCTCATGTAAAAGAAATCATAGTCGCTTCTATGAAGAACACTGCTTTCTTAAACGTCCACAGAGTGTGAGGAATTCCAAGAGGAAAGTGAGCCAGCACTGCACTAGTGTGGTGTGGAGACCTGGGACAGACGCCAGGTGCCCAATCACAGTGCTCTACCACTCCCCTCCTCAGTAGGACCAAGGGAGAAAACAAGATGGAGAAAAACTTCTGGGTCAAGATAAAAGCAGTTTAATAAAGCAAAAGGAAAGAAAACAGAAAGATTTATTCTCAACTTCCCACCAGCATGCAATGTCCAGTCATTTCCAAGGAAGAAGGGCTTGAGTACATGTAGTGGTTGCTCTGGAGGACATGGGTGCCCACACTCCTCCCTTCTCTTAGCTTTTATTGCTGAGCAGACATCACACAACATACAATATCCTTTTGGTCAGTTTGGGCCAGTTGTCCTGGTTATGTCCCCTACAAAGGTCTTGCCCACCCCTAGTGGTGGTGCCTACTGGTGATGGGTGAATGTGGAGAGACAGCACTAGGCTGGTGGAGCACTCCTCAGCTGTAGCCAAAATGCTGGTGTGTTTTCAACACCTTCTAGCTATCAATGCAAAGCACAGCACGATGAGGGCTGCTCCAGGGAAAACTGACTCCATCTCAGCCAGCCCCAATACATGTTCAGTATTTTTCCCTGGTGAAAGAATGGATAATTAAATGAAAGCAGCATTTATTCAGAAATTCTGCGTGTTTAGACATTTACTTGTTTGTTCTTGCCATGAGCCTCTTGTTAATGCAAACTCTCACCCTCAACAGTATTCCAGGGAAAACTACATTTCCACCAACTACATCCCAGAGGCAAAGAACTGAACTAGTAATCTCCGAAGAAGCTGCACGCAACAAAGGTTCGAATCACAACTGTGAATGTAAGATTCCAATGGAGGAATAGTGTTTTGGGCTCCTTCCTCATACTGAGCCTTAAACATCTGAGAATCTGGCTACCTCTTTACTTGTAGAACAGTCTGGTAATGGGTCTGCATTTTGGGTCACACTGTTCCTCAGGTTTAGACCCTTAGCTTTGTCACTGCTACAGTTTTGGCCCAAGAAAGGTGGTACTTTCCTTGACAAATGCCTAGGCACAGGGCACAGACCAGCAGAGGTAGGGACATTCCCAGACAGTACTTTGTGTGTGGGAGGGAGGGAATTAAAACTATTTTAATTGTATTAACAATAACCTATGACACAGCAGTTGACCACCAAGCCAGTGACTAACTCCTTTGTTTAATTTTTATCAATTATTAGTACAGATGTATCCCTGGTGCCCCCGATTATTTAGTTACTAGCTAAGAGAGACACATGGCCTAATACTAGCAAATTAATGCTTCTCTGCATAGTTGTCTCTATCAAACACCTGTGATTAATGAGGTAGCAAAGCTTAACTAGAACAAAAAGAGAACATGATAATCTCTCTGAATTGTCCAACTTCAAGGCATTCCCTCTCCACACTACCCTCTCTCCTCATGGTAAGACTCCTGTAACACCTTACATATCCTTACAGCTTTGGGAGGCAAAGTTAGATAACATGGAAGTGGGAGAAGAACAGAGAAGCACAGGATGAAGAATATACGTGTTTGTTTTCAGAGTGAAGAGTAGGAATAACAGGGAACGAACAAAAGACAGGGACAGCAGGGATGGAAAAGGTCATAAGCCCCACACTATCTGCTTCTGCAAGTGCCAAGGCCTCACACAACTTTGCTTGTCCAGAGGTTATGAGGGTCTTCTTTTGCACCCATGTAAACTGAATCTGTGGACTCTCTCTTGAAGCAGAGATGGGAACCAGGACTATCTCATGTAAACTGGAATCTCAACAGACTCTTAAAAAGGCAAAGAGCTACTAACATGCAGACTGTGCATCACGCCCTGAGTAGATGCTCTGAAAAAGACAGAGGAGACATTATGTGGTGTCTGGAAACAGATTTCTTTTCCATTTTTAAACAAGAAAATGACAATGGATTGCCAGCTTTGTGATCCAGAATATAACATGATTCTGCAGAGCACCCTTAGGTTTGTGAGTATATTTTGTTGGCAAATGTTATATGACTGCTTAAGGCAACTTCTTTGGGGCAGGGGTTGGTTGAATATATCAGATCCACCGAACTGGTTTCCAATGACAGAAACAGAAGGCATAATATCTGAGGACTATCTGACAACTGACTAACAAAACTCCATTTTCTTTCACTCAGGTCCACACAACACTTACCAAACAGTTGGAAATCTAATCATTAGCAACATTTTAACCAGAAAAGGTACCTTGGAAGATACTTGGAAAGACATACAGCACATTGCCTTCTGAAGGCATCACCTGCACAAACTACAATAGCACTGACATTTACAGAACCCACATTTACATATAGTTAATAAAAATATGAAACAGAACATGCTTTAATTACTCCAAAAGCTTGTCTTCAACTTTACAGTGTATCAAAAGAAGACATAAAACTGGTAAGTACAGACACTCACAGAAAAACCTCTTCAGAATCTCCTTCCTGCTAAGAAGTCTTAGTCTGTGCTGCCATCGCATGAAAGATCACCCATGCGCTCTCGATAAAACACTGGCCTCACTGCTAAGTAGCATGTTCTAAAGTAAAGTAATATTTAGTTGGGGGGGTGGGATTCTGTTTATTTTAAATAAATTTCTAAGGTACTTGAGTTCATTGCCTCTCAATTTGTTTCTTTGATGACCTTTTTATTCAGTCAGAAAACTGTGATTATGAGTGCACAATTTCTAACCATCTATATCGGCAGAACCTTTTCTATACCCTTGGAACCATAATTCTTATCTTCCTAAGTTCCTTCCTCGTAAGGAAATTTAGGCTGCAGATAGTTTCATTGTTTATCCTTAGAGCTCTTTTATTTGTTTGTATTATTTTGGTAAGGTAAACAAACCCAGTCCTACTTAATCTAAAAGTACACTAGCCATTTATGCAGTGAAAATATACAGAAGTCATAATGGGTCATGCTGAAAGTCCACTTTGCTCAGCGCCCTCTGACAGTGACCAAAAAGCTTCTCAGATACCTGCAGCAAATTGAAGGGTGCTGTTGGGGTGCTGGTGTTGGGGTGCTGTTGTGGTGCCTTGCCTACAGTTCTCCTTCAGTTTCTGCCTTCATGTTTTTCACCCTGATGCATTCCCCATCCTCCTTCCTCTTTTCTTCCATTTTCCCTCCAAAGTCACTCAATTTGTCCCCAATGTATTTTCCTTCATTCCACTCCCTTCAGCCCCCCAAACTTTCTTCTTCTGGTTTATTTAAAACCCAAAAATGTGACTCAAAGTTTTATAAATTTAATTTGGATCCTTGATATATCAATTTTTTCAGGTCTGCAAAAGTCTAGGAGAGCAATTTCTAACTTTTCATAAAGCTCTGAAAAAATTCTAGGCACTAGGCAGTAAGGCAGTAAGTAAAAGATGCAGACTGTTTATACATAAATACAAGCACTGAACATCTGATTTTACAAACATACGTTGTGTGCATTGGAATGCCAGACATGGTGCATCTACACCCAAAAATCAAGACATTTTACTAAGTGTTAAGAGGAACAGATTTACAGAAATGCTAAGCAGATCCTGGGGGCCTATTTAGGCAAGCTAGATGTATCAAAAGGACTACCAGGCACAAAGGTGTTCTTTCAGACTAGATCGGAGTTCAGTCGCCCTGACTGTGGATAATCCTTAAACAGATATGCCATTTAGAAAGACTGTTCTTTGATATGTTACTCACATGTATATTCAGAGTGTGACTGCATCTACGCTGTAATCTGGGTTTATTTTTATTGCTGGAGGTATCCAGGATGGCATGTCTTCTATTGATAAGGATCATTTGGCTATTTAAACAGTCAGGTACTTTCCTTTCAACTGAAGATTTACAAACTCTATATGGACTACAAAGGAAAAGCTGCAAGGAGGTTGTGAAAGTATATACAACCAATAAATCCTTAAAAAGAACAGTCAGTTGTGAGTAAATACATTTTCCTGTTTTGAGTGCCTGCCATGGAGGAGAAGAGCGAGCTCTTCTCACACAGTCAGTGACGGTGTCACAATGCACCCTCCCTTCAGATATCATATACATTGATAAGACCCCTGATGAGCCTTCTCTTCTCCAGCTAAAGTCCCAGCTCTCTCAGCCCTTCTTCATACAAAGGATTCCCTTCATATCTTAGTAGTTGGATTCTCTCCAGCTGTTTCATATCTCTATTGCACTGGGGAGCCCAGAACTGGTCCCAGAAGTCCAAGTGTGGTGGAGGTTTTCATGGCGTGCATGAACAGGGTGCTAGGCAATCTCATCTAGGCTCTTTTCCACAAAGATTGCACCAGATAATCTTTTGAGGTCTTTCCCAACATTCAGTTGTTTTTTTCTTAAATTAGTGGTCCAAATAGCAAGTGGAACTGAGGCAGAAATAGAGAAAGATTAGTTAGAAGTAGACTAGCTTCCTGTTTCCCTGTCTTAATGAGAACTCCAGAAGTTGTCAATATATAGAAGAAAAAGACAAATCCTGATAAAAAAGTCTACAGAATCAGCTAAATCACACAACAAACTCATATCCACACCATGTCATTCATTTCAAAAAATCATCCAGAGTAGAAAAGAATGGGTGTTCCCTTTAGGAAAGAAACTTCTCTTCTCTGTAGGAATCCTTTTCTTTGAAGAGAAAATTAATGTATATTTTGGGCACAGATGTGAAGGTAGTTTAAGCACTCAAACAGAAGTAATTTCCAGTGGTTCCCTCCAGCCCACCCTATTCTATGAATCTATGATTCACTTATCCCCTGCTTCTATCATTTTCTGTTGAAATATTCCAAAACTCTAAAAAGCACAAGAAAGAGAAAGTAGTGTCATGGAAGCAGTTGATGAATACATGTCAAGGATACTGCCAAATAGGCATTTATAAGGAGACCAACGGTGAGAGAAAACAGGGTACAGTATATCTTCTTTACAGCAACTGCTAAACCTTTTGCAGCTATTTACAGAAATCACTTATTAAAAGTAGTGTAGAACAGGCCACTTGGGAGTGAACTCTTTGCCACCAAACTTTTCCTTACTGAAGGCATCTATGTTTCTAAGGAGTCCTGGAATGACATTATAAGCCTTCAGAATTTTGAGAAATTGGAGTAGGAAAAAACCAAACATATTTTCTCACCAGGGAAACTGTTGCTCTTCATCAGCAAATCTGCCATCGCTGTTGACACCTCTGTTGAAATATATGAATGAAGAAAACATTTTAGAAGTTTCATTTCTATAGCAATCACAATAGATGGCAAGGCACAATGGCTGGAAGAAGATGTAAACAAAACTTAGCTTCTTTATGATTGTCAGAAATTGTTCCTTGCTTTCCTGAGGCAACATGTCAATATATTCAATCTGCTTCAATTAATATACCTGTTCTATTACAACTAGATGGTTATTTGCAAAACAGAATTGCAAACAAAATGACAAACAACTTTTTGCCTCAAAAAGTCCTTTTTGCTTTTTGCCCCCCCCGCACCTCTATGAAACAGTAGTGATTTCATTAGCACTGCTCATTCTTTGCTTCAGTCCTTGGGACAACGAAAGAATATGAGATGGAAAATGAGCAAGTCTCTTGCTGGAATAAAATACTTCCCTTCTGTTCCCTTTGAAATAAATGTGATAGCATTAATGGCAGGGATCTGCCATGCTATTTTGGCATGCTCTACTGTTTCATCATTAGCAGGAAACCAGCTTTATTAGAAAAGCTATTTCGGTACATATATAGGAACTGTGGGGAAAGGGGAGTAAGGAGTCTCACACACCTTCTCCTATAAGAAGTGTACTATTTCTACAATCCTCTTGCTTAATTCCAGTAACAATTTTAAAACACTGGGATACAGAATGGAGGCTGACACAACTGCTTCATATTGAGAATGTCAGGACTCTAGGTAATAAAATATTTCATATTCCTTTAAGCCTTTATCCTATTACTCCAAAATACAATGTACTTTAAATAGAAAATATCTTGAAACTTCATACAAGATGTCTTAAGTATTTATGACACAGAACCAGATGCAATCTAATCCTAATCATCTAGTACCTGTAAGCATGTTCTACTGAGACAGAATGCCAAAACACTCTTACTGAAATGAGCCCTCTATGGTTCTGCAGCCTTTTATATACAACTACTATGAAGACCAAACTCAACAAACTATATAGAAGGCTAGGTTTGTGGTACCGTGCAACTGCCTGTCAGATGAAGAATGACATCTCTGAACTCAGACAAGGACATAGATCAAGGTCTGCCTGACTCATGTAGTATCATACTCAAATACTGGGTCAATGTGTTCATTGGTTTAAGTCTTAGCAATGAGTTAGAATGTATGAGAGCAGCTGAGATTATCTACAGCCTTTCCATCATATGATAGCATGAACTGCTTGGGCTGATATAGATGAGGGATCTTTGTCCTCTGCTAAAGGGAAAGCGTTTTGTATTATTTTTGAGCATACTTCAGCTCTGCAGGTATGTCTGGTACTCCAAGCCGTAAGAGCACCTAAACGGTGTCAGGTACCACTGCTTAGGTAGCATTGGCAAAAAACATCTCTCACTCAAGTACACAGAAAGCCTGCACAATCCACAGGAGAGGTAAAAATGGACCATTCAAAAACACAGATCTTGCATGCAACACAGAATGATGGAGGAATATTATATTACTGTTCTATTTTGGAGAAAACTAGTCAGAACAATATTGGAAAACAAATTTTTTGTACTATCCTAAGGCCAGTAATTTGAGATCTAATTTAAGTGATGCATGAGATTCATGATTGCAAAAACCACCAGAAACAAAAACCCAAAATCAAAAACCTGAAGAGCTCTCAAGTTTATAAAGACAAACATAATTTTGAACAGACAGACAGCATATCTAATGGGTTAAATGTTCAATTATATCTCCAAGTTTTAAAATTATGGCTCAGAAGGAAGGTCATTCTTTCCAATTAATAAAAGTATTAACTGACTCCTTTTCTATTAGAGATACTTGGATACCATCAACTGAAACAGCAACCCAAACTGAAAGCAGGACTGAAAACAGCAGGATACACATTCCACAAAAGGAACTACCCATTTCAACTGCAACACTAAAGTACTTCCCACCACACCTTTACTACATAAAACTCAAACTACAGTAATTTATGTACTATGATAATCCATACAGTCTTTATCTAAGAAGTTATTGGATCACTGATTTTAGGAGAAAATTATTTTGCACTGAAGCATTCTCCTTGGTACTTTCCTTTCTTTCACCTACATATTTCATCGCTAGGCTTATTTTCTCATTCTCCCTCCCTCCATACTCATGAAGCTTTTTCTTTGCTAACTAAAGTCTTCAGTCTTTCAGATTCTTTTTTTAAAATTCTGCTTACAGTTTAATATAAAAAAGTGTGCTATGATAACTCTGCTGTGTATCATTTGCTGTAACAGCCTCAATGGACAACATTATTTAGTGCTATCATCCAGTTAGTAAATTAAAGGTCTTTCATTTTATATAATTAAGAATATAATCTTTAATATGAAAGATGCTTAAGAATATCCAAGGAAATAGCTTTTTCCTGAACATACAGACATGCTAGAAAGAAAATATCTACTGGTAAATATTTATTTGTAAGAGTGAACAAGTGTTTATAAGGATGTGTTCTTGAAAATAAAGTGGGTTTTGTTCTTTGTTGTTGAGATTGACAGATCTGACATGGTTATTAGCACAAAATGGTTGTTCATCCAACTACTAAAGCAGCAACTGATACACCTACTGAGCAGAGTGCCAAGGGACTATTCCTCCCTCTGCAAGAATTCAAGTTGGAATCAAAAGAAAAACAAATTACTTAATTGTGAATTAAAGAATGGATATAACAATGTAGGTCCAGTAGAAATAGACTCATTAATCTCATTAATTTCTTACACCTGTTCAGTCATCTAAAAAAAAAAAAAAAAAAACAAACCCACCAAAAAACTAAAAACTCTAAGCCAGAAAAAATTCTGCCCCTACTGCCAATGAATCTAAGCCTGTTTTTGGTGTATGATCACGTACTTACCCAGTACAAGAACTGAAAAGGGCTCTACTCATTTGCTGAGCTAAGGGAAAAATGTATAGCATCTTAAAACAGGACTGAACTGCAAAAGTAAGCACGTTGAATTTACACTTGAGTATTCTACATGCAATGATTAGAAGACTTAGTTTTGAAATGTTAATAATCAAACAAAAAGAAGTTATTTCATATCAAACAAATTTCTACCAACTTTAAAGTTAGTCTTTTGAGTGCAGAAATTTCCTAAGAGAAAAAAACGTAAATTTTTGTAATAATCTAAACATGTTTTCATTTTAAAGATTATATAGTGTTACCTTCAAATTCCATCAGTTTTGAACATTTTGATTCTTGCATAATTAAATATTTAGGAAGAGGGTTGTGTGGAAGATGCATATTACCATACTTGACCAATACTGACCTTTCTCCCCTCAGCTGAAGTGAAAATTTTCCTGATGTCCCTTCCATGAAGTCTTCGCTCTCCGATCTGCTGATACGCTCATTACAAATTAATTGCCTACTTTCATCATTAACTGGTGTGTACGACCTTTGCTCTGCTAAGTAGTTATTCTTACTTCTGGCAAGATTATTCATCATCATAGCTGGTTCCTCAGAATCTAGCTTCTCTTTGTCTGAAAGAGTCAAAAAGAATACATTTTGTAGGAGGGTCCTTACACAATACGCACACACAACAGAGCTCAAAATTAATTACTGTTTGTCGTGTTACGTTATCAAAATTTGCTTGCACCAATTTAAAAGGTAAGAAAGCTTTAGATTATTAAGAGTAAAGTAATCAATGTCTTCTTATGAGCAGCATTTCTTGAAGTCTTTCAGTTTAGGGTTTTAACATTTAAATATTTCATCCTTTTTTATTTCCTTTTTACAGATAAGTGGATTGTACCTTGTGAAAAACAGTGATTGTATTTCAGGATCTGAATATTGTGAAGGAACTCAAGGAGAAGATAACTGTTAATCTCATACCTTGGTATATACACATGGCAAGAATCTCCACAAAAACACTCACGTAAACATTTGCATGATCCCCAAAGGGGAGAAGAGACCAACTCAGGCTATAACTACATTAGGTTCTCAACTTCTTCAACTACTAATGAAGGCTAATGGATTAAACTACATATTATTACAAATGAGCCTTCATTAAAGACAGAGTCCCAGCACATTTCATTATGAGCTAACATGCAGGAAACCAAGATGCCTCTCTCATCTGTAAGAAAATTACTTCTAAATCCCACATTTAGCGACCTTTATTAAGACTCTACTAAAAAAACTCTTAATAACAAATATGATGTAGTTGGAGGCCTGTCAAGACATATCATTCCTTTTTATTCCTCCTTTTATGCTCAATAATCCATCAGGGAATCTCCTTAGATGAATAGCATCTCATTACCTCTTTAAACGTGTCACCATTTATTGTTCATTTTACTCATTGAAGAAAACTTTCAGTAAAATTCCACTACTTGTAAACCTATAGGAAAAAGAGGCACCTGAGTAGCTTTAAACCCACTTTCAGAGGTGAAGGCCAGCATCATTTTTGGAAACCATAGTTTCAAAACTGCCTTAAAGCCGTTTTAATACTTTCAAAATTTACACTGAAAGGACCTTTAATATAATAATTCATGTAATTAACAATATTAAAACCCATCATGCAGTTATTTTTCTAGCAAATAATAATATGTATCAAGACATTCTTACTCTGATCCGGAAGAACCACTTTAGCAGAAAATAAGTTTCCCAGAGAAGTTGTTCTACATAAGCATGCCCGAGCGCTGCTGACTCTTCTAACCTCTGCAGCCCCAGCAGGAGGTTTTGGAAGGAGAAAAGAAGAATCTTCATCTTTTGCAGAAGTGATTAGTATTGGTTTCTGTGACAAAGATAAAGAAGACTTTTAAATAAAAGCACAGATAATTTCATTGTCATACAAGCAAAAATTTAAAAAAAAATAGAAACCCACAGGATTTATAGCAAAGGGCTAAGTTCAGAATCATACAGAAATCGTAGGTTTGCTCATTAAGAGATTTTCACATCCACAATCTAATGATATCACTCCACCAAACAACCAGATGTCTATACCATTATCACCACAGAAAGCCATTAAAAGCCGACACTCGGGGTGCAGAGAACAAAAACTAGCTGCAGTAGAAAAACTCAGAATTATTTATTCCTTGTAAATGCTCATTTAATTACATCTGCAACATGCTTATTTATCAAAGAAAATGTGTCAAAGACTTGTGCTAACAAATGTAGAGCTCCATAGTCTTTTACATATATATATATATATATATATCTCCTTATAGTCTTATATCTATTGGTAAAGCAAAAAAGGCAGTTTTTGCATTGGTCAATAGTTATCTCTATTTTTTTTCCACTCTCACACACGAAATAAATGAAAATTTAACACCAGTACTTAAATACAACTGTAGATGTATTTAATCCAAATAGAAGTATGGTCAGAATTTTTCAACGTGATTCATATAAATACATTACCTTATCAAAATTACTTGGATTTCTTGGATTTTTTCCCCTTAAATTTCCAAAAGAATGCTATATTTACATTACTGCCTTGAAGAAGCAATGCATACAGCAAGGATATTTTACTGATTTATCATCTCTGTTCTCTCAGGTAGTAAACAAATGATCATGACTTAAACTTGTATTTAGAGACCAAATATTAAAAAAAATAAAATTAAAAGAACAGATACATTTATGAACTGAAAACAATTTGCAATTTTCCCAAAGAGATCTCTGGATGTCCAATCCCTGTGCCCCGAGTCTGGGCCACCTAAATTCAGGACCATGCCCAAGAAGCTTGTAAAGGTCCTCTGGGTAACCTGTGCCAGGGCTTCGACAACCTCACAGCCAGAAAAGTGTTTCCTTAAGTTGAAGTTTGTGCCCACTGCCTCTGGTTGTGTCAAGGAAAAGAATCTCTGACCCCATCCTCTTTCCACCTGCCCTTCAGGTATTTCTATACACAGATAATATCCTCCCTGGTCTTCTCCAGCTTGAATGTTCCCATCTCTGTCCCTTCATCACCTTTGCAGCCCTCCATCAGACTCTCTCCACTAGCTCCACGTCTTCCTTATATGAGAGAGCTCAAAGCTGAATACAGCACCCCAGGTGTGGCCTTACCAGTGTTGAGTAGAGGAAAAGAATCATTTCCCTCCACCTGCTGGCAACATTCCTCCTAATGCAGCCCCAGATACCATCAGCCTCCTTCTCAATGGCAAGGGTATGTTGTTGGCTCACACTGATGCTCATGAACATTTTCTATTTTAGTAAACTTACACAAGAAAGCTGACTCGAGTATCTGTCTTCTGACTCTTGTTAATGTCACTTAGAATTATAATGCAATACAGCAGTATTTAAACAGTTTAAATTATTTTCAGGTTTCTTTTGGGGAAAAATGACAAAACTGACTTTATAAGTCTCAGACTACAATTGCAACAGGCATCCATTACCTCCCAACATCTTTAAATCATATCTTTTCCTAGCACTACCGAGACACATATTTATGTCAGTACTGCGTGAGTTATTTCCAGAGTACTCACATGATCCAGTGGACTAAGACGAACACCAGACACTGGTCTTGATTCAGCCAAATCAAAACTGGATGCATGAAGACTAACAAAGAAATGAAACATGATATGAATAAAGCAGACCCAGTGTTTTGTGATCAGTTAGTTCTTTTAATTTTACATTTCATCCCTTTGCCAATGAATATGGGGAAAAGAAGGAAGAAGGAGTGACAGACTATTTCACACTATCCCTCTTTTTCCATGAATGCTATTCAGCTTTGATATCTGGGAATCCAGCACAATAAGGAAGAAGAATTACAAGATCCCCTGCACACCTGCCATGATACAGTTTATTTTATACATCCAGAACAATTCTCTAATGTAAGCCTAAGTTCATGCACAAACCCAACTGCCCAAGCTATTTCACACAAGCTGCTGAACATTGCAGGGCAGAAAATCCAGCCTTGTGCAGGCATGAACCTGCTCCTTCCCACACCAAGAAGCAGCACAGAGAGAACAAGCATGGATGTCAGCCAGAGGGACCTCATTACCAGATTACCAGGCTCTTGCCTTCTCTAAGGGCACAACCCTATGCACTAAGGAGTATTGTACAAATTGAGTTCCTGAAGTCATGCTGCCATGAAAACAGCATGGACACTGACTGGCTTATACGGTCAAACACATTTCAGCATTCTTTCTGGCATGCCTGGCACCTGACACTACAAATACAGCTCATATCTCCTCCCTCCAGTCACTACTGAATTGGTACATAAGGAGAGCTAAAGATGATTGGGAAAATGGTTGAAAATAGCTCACTACATAATTTCTTTCTCTAGACAGATTTATTGAGCTCTGTGAATTTTAGTACGTAACAAAACTCCACACAGAAATAATTTCAAAGTAGCATAAATTTTGGTTGCAAATGAGCACTTCAAACTTCAAGACTTACAATTTTACATTTAAAAGACCTGAGAATGCTCTGAAAAAATATCTAGCATACAGGTTATGTGGAAACAAGCAAGCTTTCACATGTTCTTGGAAAAAAGATGGAGACTATCTCAATTAAAAGCATTCAGTTTCGAATTTTAAAAAAAGGTAAATAACAGACCATTTTCTCATATTATTCTCCACACAGAAAACTAGTGTAATGACTGCCTCTGGTAGCTCTAATCCACAGGAACTTCCTAGACATATAGATTAACACCAACAGTAAGGATCATTAGAAGAAGGCAAAGGATGTGATTAGGAATACAGATTAACACGGGGAAAATAATCACCGGAAACATAATTACAGAATCAAATCTCTTGCTGTTAATGGATATTTGAAAAAATCTTAAAGCCACAGTACCTAAAAACTGAAGGAGGTCTACTTTGAGGACCTCGCGAGGATCCAAATCCAAAAAGTTTCCTTTGATCATCCGTAGGTGTAAATGGTCTTCGAGTTCCTACGGCTCGCAGAACATTTCTGGCTTCATTTATAATCTCAGAACTGGTCTTCTGCTTTGCCACTGAAAGCCAGTAGAATGGTTCTGCCTTTTTTGTATTTTCAGTCTTTGAAGCTTGCATTCCTCTGCAAAGTAATGCACAGGAAGAACACTGGATAATGTATGTGAAAGGCACAAAGTATTATGCTCATTTTAAGCCACAAACTATTAATTCATCACTGGTTATGCTACCACAGTGTGGTTAAAAAGGACATAATAACTAAATCCTACGCAGTGCTGAACTAGTGCAGAATAAGGCTCATTGATACTGCATTTCCCACTCTGTTCCCCAGTTCTGTAGGAAAATACTGAAGAGCAGAAAGCATCTGACATGGAGGACCCTTAGTTTTTTACAGGGAGCTAAAATACACCACTGTGTTTCATGGGCCAAATGTGATCCTTCCCAATACCATAGAAAATCTGTTTCTTGACACTTGATTACTTAGGAGACATTACAGCCAAAACAGGAATTCAATACTATGCTGTAAAGAGACAGGTTTTTTCCAGCTTAGGAAAAACCCAATATATATTATCAACCTTACCAAGGGCAGCTTCCTAATACATCAGTGAGGCATTATTATCAGTAACTGAAGCACAGTTATCAGCAATTGATAAGCAGAGACAAAGAAGAACAAGCAATCAATTTTCTTCCTCTGAAAGAAATTATTCCTCAACCCACCCCCAAGCACATGCAAAGAAGGATAACACTAATGTAACATAAACTGTCAACTCAAACTTCCAATCATTGTTCTGTCCTGCTGCATCTTCTGGCAAATGCAGTGGTCAGCGAAAGAATTGCTCCAAAATCTCTCAAGCCCCGCAAACCCAATCACTTATCATAGTGCAGTTCTCTGTAGATATCATCCTTGTCATTTTACAGCAAATTTATCCTGAGTCTTAAACCATCCAAAATTCCTCTTCTGCTTTTCAAACTTACCTAAAAAGAAAAACATGTTTCTGCATTGTGACTCAGACCATCTGGTAACTTCTATTCTCTCACATAGTTTATGACAATGAACTGACAGTAGATCAGACACCATCATCTTGGTTATTTCTAAACTATGGAGTAAAAAAAATCTACTTTTCCAATTGCTTCTTCTTCAACAGCCTCTACATTCTGGCACAGTGTCTTTCACTGATACACACCCAACCCTTTAAGAAGAACTACCCGACATAAAATTGGATGTTAAGGAGAAGTGCACCAACCTCTTTCACTAAATGATGTGTAATTAAAAAAAAAAAAAAACAGGAACAGATCAGAAACAGATCCGTTTTTTTAAGATTTCTGATTACCATTAATATATTACTTATCTTCACTGTGACTGAATTTGGTTCTCTATGCTCCCTACTCTCCCCTCTATCACAATGTGATTCAAAAAAAGTAAGGAATTCCACTGCAGTAGGCTGTTCAAAGCAGTTACCCAGTCAGTCCTCACTAGAAAGGGAAGGCAGATTATCATTCCCTATTCTCCCAGCTACTGGGAGTCAAGATTTTGACCTTGGGTGGAAGGTCTTCTGTGTAAGTAATATGTCTGATACTGTTTTTATCCAACATACATGGAAACAACTGCTGTGAATACAAATCAGAAATGTGAATTAATCCACATTTCTTATTTTCTGATCTATATATTTCAATTCACGTTGCTAAATTTTTAAATAAATCCTCTCACGTAATCTAATCTATTACATTCGATCTCTGAAGGACACAGTTTTCTTTAGTTCTTAAAATGGGTTCTGTCCTCTGACACTGAAATGTGTATTTTATGGGATTTATGTATATGTTCTTCATAGTTAAACCAAGAAACGACCTGAGAGATATGATGTGTTTCTGTGGAACAGGAGTTATCTCCAATAGAATAACAGGACCACAGAACCAGAAGCTGGAATTGATCCACAAGGTTTTGTTACTTCTACGGGAAACTGCAAATTTTTTCTGTTGATGCTTTCACATCTTACCTGTTTCTTTTAAACTGGCAAAGGAACTTTTCTACTAAAAGCTTAATTAGTTAAGTCCTACTATTTGAGCACTGTTAGTCACCCTTCCAATCCATTATAAAACAACACTCGGACGATTACCATCACAAGGGGAACTTGACTTCATTTGAATGCTTGACTGAGCTCACTGCTGCACTGCTGATTCAGAGGAGAGGGAGAGCACAGCCTTTCCCTGCGGCTGGAGCAGGGAGGCTGGCAGAGGGTAGCAAGGGAAGCAAGACAGGAGGTGTCCCAGTGGGGTACCAGTTAGCAGAACCCAGCACTCGGCACTGGCCCAAGGAGCATGTCAACCTGCGTAAGGCAGCACTGTACATGCTCAGATTTGGGATAGTGGCACGGTACCAACAAGCTTTCTGACGATAAGCCTCCTGGTGATAAAGACACCAGAAGCTTTCTTGGCTTTGTACAGCACCAAAGACTCATTTAAAATAAGTTGCAACAGCATGCAACAAGCAGAAGGTGGATGTATAGGATAAAGAGGAAGCATAAGAGCGGAAGAGAAATTACTGCACTGGCTGCCCAGCATACAATCTGCTTTTACCCTTGCTTTATACAAGACTTGTTCTGCCTGGTTCTGTATTTATTTGTAAGGATTTCTATTTTTTCTGTGAACTCTATGCACTTTTAAAAATAAAGTATCTTAGCTGCAAAGAAATAATTCCAATTATTAGTGCTTCTCTCTGAAAATCCAGCAGTGTACCTGTTTTGCTCCCCCATCCCAGCAAGAGACAGACAGAGGGAGTGTTGGAGTGTCAGTGGGGACCCCACAACTGGCACAAACAGATCTTGACCCCCGCTGCTGCCACCACTTCCCAAGTAGCCTTTAACTTGCACAGGTGCAGATCTCTCCTCTGACTCTCTGCTGGAAAGCAGATTATCACAGCAGTGTCTGGAAAGCCACACTTGGGCTCTTGTTTTTTTCCCCCAGTTGTTTACTCCAGAGGTCTGGTCTTTGCTGTACAGGAAGATCTGAAAGCAGCAGATAATGGTGTAGGATCAGAGAACCCCGAATTAGTCCTAGTGATGTCCAGAATCAAGACAGCTGTACCCTCACAGCACTTAAGTCAATCAAGATGACAGAAGCACAGCTGACTACATCAGATGCCATACTGGCTCTGCCATCCTCTCTCCCAACTCAAAACCAGTGTCGTTTAATTGCTAGGATGCAGAGTGGGTATCCTTGCAAACACAAAGTACACTGAGCAGAAGTCCCATACTCAAGTCGTGAAGACTCTGCTGACACCTGAATCCATGTTCTGTCTGCCCTAGGAAATCTCCACAATAGTTAGCACACAAGCATTTAGGTTTAGTAAGAATATACAAATAATAGCTATTACTAGACATGATTTTAAACACCAGCAATTTAAACACCAGCAACTTACCAATCACAACTGATACACTTTCAGCTTGGTGAAATTCTGATGCAGAGAAATCACTATCGAAAAGAAACAAAAACAAAGTTAAGCACAATGAAGTCTGCAACCCTCAACAGAGCGAGCTTTCCAGTACAGCCATGACAACACGTCCAAGAGGAACTCCCCAGATAAGCAGCGCCTGTGGAGTAAAAGCTGACCCAGCCCAAACCCGCAAACAAGCCTCTCCTGGGAACGGGGCACTGCCAGCTGCCGGGAACCGGCACAGGGGGTCTCCCTCTCCGTCCGCTTTTCCAACGCCTCCCGCCCAACTTTCACATACTATTCTAAGTCGGAAGGGACCCACAAGGATCACCGAGTCCATCCAGCTCTTCAGTGAACGCCCCATACGGGATCGAATGGCCCATACGAGAGATCGAACCCACAATCTCGGTGCTGTTGGCACCACGTCTAACCAACCGAGCTAATATCAGGGCTCACTCGCCGCACAGCCACAGCCCGGCGAGGCGGCACCCCCGGGCACAGCCCTACGGCCGGGGCGGCACCGGGGCGCTGCGCGGGGGAGCTCGGTCGGGAGCCCCGGTCCCGCTCACCCTCCCTCCCGCCTCGCCGTTCCCATAGCAACAGTACACACACCATGGCGCCGCCGGGACGGGACGGGGCCGGGGCCGCAGCGAGGCCGATCCGGGAGCGGGCCGGGGCCGGGAGGACGCCTCCCTCGCCTGTGCCGGCCGCTGCCTCAGCGCCGGTGTCTCCGGTGCCGCCGGTGTCTCCGGTGCCGCCGCGCTGCCTCCGCCGCCCCCGCGGCGGGACCGGGCACCGCCAGGCGCACGCGCCAGCACCGGTGGGCGCCTGCGCGGCGCGGCCGCTGCCCGAGCGGGGCGGGGTCCCCGCGTCCCGGGGGTGTCCCCGCGTCCCGGCGGCAGGGACCGGGAGCGGGCATGGCGCAGCGCTGGCACGTCGGACGCTGGGTTTTCCGGTGGAGGGGCGCTTTCCCCCGGCCAGTCCTGCCCCACGCTTAGGACACGGTAGCGGCTGGAAAAAGCCCAGGGTTCCGTTGGCAGAATTTACTCGGTGTGACCTGTTGCCAGTTGAGGACTCTCTAAACACAGACACGGGGCCCAGTTTAGAAAGGAGACACTGTTTATTCTTGCGCAGAGTGCAAGGTGGAAGTTTTCCACAAACCAAGCACTCCGATTCTCGAACATTTACAGAATCACAGAATCAGTTAGCTGGAAAAGTCCTCTGAGATCATCGAGTCCAATCTATGACTGAACACCACCATGTCAACTAGACAATGGCATTAAGTGCCACGTCCAGTCTTTCCTGAAACACCTTCAGGCACAGTGGCTCCACCACCTCTCTGAGCAGCCTATTCCAGTTACTCTGTATATGCATTCTAACAAACAAAGATTGCAGTTCACTGGCTAATTGTCTTATTAATTCATATTCTACTTTCTATTGGTTAACTTATTCTCTTGCTTCTCATGCTAATTAGTCCACATGCTCAATCTTTCTCTTCTTTTGAGTAAGTGGCTTTCTTGAGTTGGTGGTCTGTGGTGGTCTCAATCTCCCACTGCTGGACTCAAGAGGCTGTGAACTGGCACCAATGCCTTGCATTATAAGGGATCTGTGGCCAGCCAGGTGACAAGAGACACAGCAGGAGACAATAGACAGATGACATAGGAGGAGCTGACACAGAAGACCCCAGCCTATTCAATAAAAGCCCAAGTGGTCCTTAATTCATGGTCCCTCCTTTGAAATTATGAGGACTAACAAGGCAAGACTGTTTTGCAATCCCTTTCCCATTCTCTCTAAGTCTCTGAGCGAATTGTTAACTGTCTCTGACTCTCGAGATGTCAGCATCATTGTGATAACCTTCCCTCTGAGCTGATTTACGCATTGGAAATGGAGACATTGAAAGTTTCCCGCAGTAAAAACCAAGGCTCGCAGTCACAGTGGATCAGCAGCCACAAACCCCCATCCCATCCTTGGGTCATTCTGGTCAGGCACTGAGGGTTGGATTGCTCACCTCAGCGGCTCCCTGCCAGGTCAGAAGAACTATTGCATCTCCCGCTCGCCTCCTGTTCTCTGGAAGGCCAAAAGATGGACATTTTCACATTGTCTGTAGCAGAGTTTTGCATGACTGGGTCCCACAGGCCGGATAGCTTTTTTGGATTGGCACAAAGGAGTCAGTTGCAGTGACTCCCCCAAGCTGCCTCCTGGCAAGGTCCCACCTCCAGGTTTTGAGATCCCATTGTCCAGGTGCACCAGACGCTTGCTCAACATCTTCCTTGCATGCCCCCTCTTACTGCAGTGGGTAGTGTGATCATGACTCGTATCAGAAAATCTCCAGACATGTAACAACAACAAAGACAGGCCTCTTGGGGCGAGTGGGTTGTTCGTGACTGACAAGGACAGTCTATGTTTGCTATCTGTAAATGCGTTTTGAAATTTATCTAAAAATTGCTGTAGTAGGGTAGTTGTCACCTCTTTGTGAATAACAGAAAAACACAACAAATACAGGCCCATCTGACCAAACTTCTTCCTTTGTTCCTTTATTATGTGCTTCAGATATATCTGAAAGCACTCTCCAAATAAATGCTTTTTGTACATATATATCTTACTGGCTTGAAGTTCCCTTAATCTAATTGTTTGCTAACACAACTTTTACTTTCTTATGTTTGTTAGACAAGAACCCTGTTGATATTTTAAATTTAATTTGTCTTTCTGATTATTATTATTTTAAGTCTTGTTATGCCCCTCTCTTCTACAAAAATATCCTCTTCCTGTTCCTTGTTTGATTCTGACAGGCATTATGATAGCAGTAAAAAGATATCCATGTGTAACCCTACCTGGTTTACATAACACGTGCCATTATCTCTGCTAAGTTCTACATTATCTCTAATTATTAGACATCTAGTCCTCTTTCTTGTGCAGCCAAGTTCAATACCTGAGAAGTAATGAAAACCTTGTTATTACTGTACTTGCTTTTCTTTGTATATTCTTCCTTAAAAGTGAAAATAATCTCTGAGTGTGCATGTGCGTGCATGCTATTTTCAGATCAGTTATCCCTTTTTCTGTTACTTTCTTCTGCACCTTTCTTTTATTAAAATAATGCAAGGGAAGTTTAACAGAAGAGCGTGTAGATCTGTTTCCTAGTAAAGCCAGTTTGAATCTCTTTTTACTGTTATCATCTCATTATTCTTTAGTCAATTTTTAAATCCACCCAGTTAAGCCCACTAAGGCTTCTTTCTTGGCTTCTCCTTTAATCCTTTTCATATGCACATTATTTTTTCTCTCTCTATTTTCTGGGTCATCAAATTGAAGAGTTAAATTTTATTCATTTTCTGAGCTTTGGCAATTATAGCAAATATTTCTTTTGTGATCTCTCTGCTCTGTCTCAACTGTTACAACTTTCTCATTTAAATGCTTTCTCTTTTGTGCTTTTTGTTGAATGAACTCTCTCAGCACCTGTTTTAATTGCAGGTACATAATTAAATCTTATTTGCAGTAACAGTGTTTTAGGATGGAAGTATCATCAAAACATATAAACTGACTTGGTCTAGGCAAGCTAGTATTTGCTCAAGAGATTGCTGAGGTGAAAAGAATGTGCTCTGAGCATTTCTGCCTAACTAATGAAAAAATACAAAGTATCCAATTATGTCATATTCATTAAAATTACTTCTTTTTAATTTTTTTTTTTTTTTAATTTGAGAAACATGAAAGGGGTTTTGTGCTGGTATCCAGTCTTCAGAACTAGTTAACAGTGTTAAGCACTTTGCCTGCTGAGTGTTCATTGATTACACTTGCTGATTCTAGTTGCTGACCTGTAAAAGCAGCCTCCAGTGCAACTTGAGCAACACAAGTGGCAACACAGTCCCCATGCTTCTGTATTTCCTTCCTCTTTTTCAAAACAAAACAACAGTCCCACCCCCAATCTGGACAAAAATCTTCCCATCATATTCAACTTTGCATAGACCATCTGGTATGTGCTGTTAAATAAGCTCTGTGTTTCATACCACTTGTAGCTCATTACAAAGGCAGGTGGAGCAGTTCATTTTACAGCAGTTAGAAAGAACTCCTATACTAGGTGGCCTAATAAGTTTTATAAAACAAGTTAATTACAATCTCCATTATATGCAGCAGGGAAATCTGTCACTGGAAAGAGTATTGAGTATACGATGAGATGACTAGTTGGTGGATAAGGGGAGAGTGGTGTACACTGTTTATCTTAAGTAAGGCTTTTTTGACTGTCTCCTGTTACACCCTGACAGACAAAATGATAAGTATGGGCCATTAGAGTAGATACGGAGCTGCACTGAAATTTGGCAGAACTGCAGAGCTCAAAGGGTTAAAATCGGCAGCACAAAATGCAACAGAAGGCCAGTCATTGGGACACCCTCAGCAAGTTCATTGATGATGTAAAACCGGGTGGAGTAACTTGTATGCCAGATAGTTGTGCTGCCATTCAGAGGGACCTGGACAGGCTGGAGAAAAAAAGGGATCTCAAGAACTTCAGCAAAGGGAAATGTGAAGTCCCACACCCAGGGAGGAATAACCCCATGCACCAGTACATGCTGGGGGCCAACTGGCTGGAAAGAAGCTGGCAGAAAAGGACCTGGGGATCCCTGCTGTCACTAAGGTGAACATGAGCCAGCAATGGTGGCCAATAGCCTCTTGGGCTGCATCAGGAAAAGCATTGCCAGCATGTAGAAAGTGGTCCTTTTCTTCTGTGCAGCGCTGATGAGGCCACAACCGCAGTGCTGGGTGCAGTCATGGGCTCCCCAGTACAACATGGACATACTGGAGTAAGTCTAGTGAAGGGTCACTAAAATGACTAAGGGACTGGAACATCTTTCATATGAGGAAAGGCTGAGAGAACTGGGACTGTTCAGCCTGGAGAAGAGAAGGCTCTGGGTGGGATCTTATCAGTGTGTATAAATATCTGAAGGAAGGGTGCAAAGAAGATGGACTTCTTGGTGGTGTCCAGTGAAAAGACAAGAGGAAGAAGGCACAAACTGAAATACAGGAAACTCCATTTAAACATAAAAATTAATTTCTATGATGAAGGTGGTCAAACACTAGAACAGGTTCCTCTTGGAGGTTGTGTAGTTTCCATCTTTGGAGGTATTAAATATCTGATTGAAATAGTCTGTGAGTGACCTGCTCTAGTTGGCTGCTTTGAGCAAAGGGCTTGGCCTAGATGATCTCCAGAGGTCACTTTAAACCTTATTCTGTAATAGATGTAATTTTTTTTAATTTCTTAAAATCTTATTCAGATTTGACTGAAGTTTCTGGAAATTGCTGTGATCAATCTCTAGCTTGCATTGCTCAGTGTGGTCTGGTCACTGCATCCTGCAAACTCTGCATTTTACCCTCTCTTGAACCAGCACTTGAGTCCTCCCATGCTCACTGTTCAGTCCCTTCAGTAAAAAGCTGAGATTTCCCAGTGAAGTTATGCTAGCTTCCCAAGTTAAACACCCCTCTGGTATGTTTGTGCTAACACATGGCGTGCAAGGACCTCTTGTACCAACTAACTAAGCGTCATGAGCAATCTACCAGCTGCACACCCACTATGCAGGCATCCCTACATCAGTGAGTGCTTTCATTGATTTCCTGATATTTCTGCTGCCTCTGCCAGTGACTGGAAAACCCTGGCTTATTAGCAAAATGTCTGCTTTTCTTCTAGTCTGCCTTTTGATGCAAGTAGACAGGCAGGACTCCACATGACTTTGGTGCTGCTTCTCAGTTTAAGAGATGCAAATTTCTGCAGCCGGAGCTGGAACAGATATTGGGGAAACAGCCTTTTTTCAAGAACAAATAGATTTGGAAGAAAAATGTGAAGATTATGGAGGCTGCAATCCAATGTAAAGCCTAAAAGCCAAGATAAGAACAAGTGCCATGTGAAGAAGAAGAAAGGACTTTTTTTTTTTTTTCTCACAAGACACAATGTTCAGTTTAGTGGTTCCAAGTGTTCATTTTATGAGCATTTTGTTGTGCAGAACTTATGATGGCTCTGCATTCATTATGGAGCGTACTGAGGTCAGACATGGCACTTACCATTCACAGAAGCCTGTGGTGAAGAATACCAAGAACTGGCTAAATTTGAAGAGATTTCTGGGGACAGAGATGCGGATAAAGTCAAAACAGTTGAGATATAGAACCCTGTAGGGAGCTTGTTGAACACACATAGTTAATAGAGGAAGGGGGTTCACTGAATAGAACTGGTGCATTAACATGGTGACCCTTCCTTCAGATATTCATACACACTGATAAGATCCCACCTAGAGCCTTCTCTTCTCCAGGCTGAACAGTCCCAGTTCTCTCAGCCTTTCCTCAGAGTCCTTCCCCTTAGTCATTTCAGTGGCCCTTCACTAGACTTACTCCAGTATGTCCATGTTGTACTGGGGAGCCCATGACTGCACCCAGCACTGCAGTTGTGGCCTCATCAGCACTGCACAGAAGAAAAGGACCACTTTCTACATGCTGGCAATGCTTTTCCTGATGCAGCCCAAGAGGCTATTGGCCACCATTGCTGGTTCATGTTCACCTTAGTGACAGCAGGGATCCCCAGGTCCTTTTCTGCCAAGCTTCTTCCCAGCCAGTTGGCCCCCAGCATGTACTGGTGCATGGGGTTATTCCTTCTTTCTCAAGGTATCTACATCAGCATTCCTTGCCTTTCCTCCTAACAGATTCTCCTGTCAAATTGTATCTATCAGCTGCTGACGAAAGGGAATAGTAAGAGTACTGAAATGTTGGTATTTGGCAAAAGTTCAAAAAGTCATAGGACCATAAAATGGTTGGGTTAGGAGGGACCTTAAAGATCATCTAGTTCAATCCTCCTGCCATGGGCTGGTACACCTTCCACCAGACCAGCTTGCTCAAAGCTCCATCCAACCTGGCCTTGAACACTTTTAGCAATGGGACATCCACAACTTCTCTGGGAAACTAGTTCCAGTGTCTCACCACCCTCACAGTAAAGAATTTATTCCTAATATCTAATCTAAACCTGTCCTCTTTCAGTTTGAAGCTTTTTCCCCTTGTCCTATCACTACAGTTACTTGTAAGAAGTCCCTCTACAGCATTCTCATCGGCCCCTTTAGGTACTGGAAGGTGCTCTAAGGTCTCCCTGGAGCCTTCTCCAGGGTGAACAGCCCCAAGACTCTCAGTGTGTCTTCGTGTGTACAGGGTGCCTGCAGACCACAGGTGCTGCATGTCCGTAACATGTCAAACTCATTGTTCAGAACTCGCCTTACTCATGTGGTTATACAGAAGTCCAGCAGGTTCCATGCGCACATATGGTCTCTAAGCTCTGTGTGTCTTCCATTCATCTATGTATTCTACATGTATGATAGCTATCTAAGGAATGCAGTTACCTCTAATATCTGGAAATGTCATGGAATAAAACCAAAGCACTGCCACTGACTCTGTGCTGAATTCAGGAAGCAGGATTAAACTCCATTCAAATGGAGGGACCCTATAAGACCCCGCATGTTTTTTGCAGGAGACTGCTAAATTTAAGTTTTGTGTGTTGGTGGATATGTCTGTTATTTTTGTCCAGTTACAGCATTTTTGTTTTTGCAGACACTTTTCCAACCAGAACTGCCTTGTCTCTGTTGCCAGAGCTGGCTTTGTAACTCTATTAATGACAACAGTATAGGTGGGAAGGAAAGCATGGGCTTTCTCACAAACAACATTGATATAAAATGTTCAAAATAAGATGGGACTGAATTGGACATAAACCTTATTTACTGTTCCACCACAATCAGCAAAGCCCATTGTATCTCTTATTTCCAGTACATTACCCAGCATAAAAAGATTGTGCAGCAGGAAATACTTGATTTTGTGTAGCTTACTGGAGTCTGAGCACCTCAAATAATGCCAAAATGCCCAGACTGGCACAGCTTTCCAGAAAGCTGGCACCACCTATTTCCCCACCGTCTCCTCTTTAAGCAGCTCTTCAACTCAGGGTGAAGTTGTGCTGTGAGGATAACACAAACTTGACATCCAGCCCTGAAATTTTCTTGTATCCAGCGTTTACAGTATGTCTCGAAACTACAGTTTGTTCTTGTACTTTAGCAAATACTTACTGCAAATAGTTAGCTACCATTCATCGTTTCTATGTCCCACTTACCCGCAGTGCCCAATATTTTAGGTTCCTCTTTGGATATGAAAGAATCCTTTCATCTGCCCTAAATGAACAAGAGAGCTCTGCTGTTTGATACAGTCTGGATTTCTGGCAGTGAGAAATCTGCAATATGGAGAAACAACACATATAAAAATAGGTTATTGCACAAAACAGAAGAATTTTTTTTAAAATCTGACCTAATATTTACACAGATTTTGTGATGGGACATTGTACCTCACAGTATACAATGTCAGTTCCACGATGTGCTGCAAAGAATTACCAGAAGGCAGTCTACCAAACACAACACAAGGTATTCTGGGTCAGCTTCCAATAATCCCAGACTTCTTTTGCTGATAAAAACCTGATGATCTAAAGACATACTGCATCTTTAAAAAACAGCCAAATGTGAACACATCCTGCCAAAACAGATATGTCAGTAGTACATGCCAGCAGAACTTCTGCCAGTATAAAACTTTCTAGTTCAAACAAGGCCAGCAACAGCAGCAACAGCAGTTACACAGCCTCAGGATGCCTCATGAGCAGTGCTCCTGGTGGCTGCTTGCGCAGTGGCAGCAGTGCAAGAGGCAAGGGGAGAGCCCAGCTGCCCTTCTCCTCCAACACCCAGGCCAACATGCATCATAATCTGTATCTCCTCTTCTGTAGGCTCCTGTTGCCAGCCTTGTTTGAGCAAGGCAGTCTTATGGCTGAAGTTCCTCTAGCGTGAAGTCTTGATATTCGATGGTTAATCTGCAGAAGATTTCTTCTTTGGTCCAGTTACATTGGCATTACGCAGCACTTCTCTCTAGGCTGCAACTGTCCATCTTTTCTTACTCCTCCTGCAGCCCCCTCTCTGCAGCACTGTGCCCGTGCAGTAAACCCAGCTTCCAGTAGGTAATTTTCTGCTAAATGATAAAAAAATGGCATCTATGCTCTGCTGGAAACAAAACAAGATCTCTTTCAGATCTCAGACTGATCAGCAGCACAAATGTAGGGTTAGACCCAGCTGAGACAGGTATGAGCTTCATTTTGGCTGCTGTGAGTGGAAGTTTTCTTTAAATTTTTTGACAAAAGATGACATACTTCAGTGACAATCACTTTGCAAATACAGCATCGCTTTTGCAGGGGAAAAAAAATAATTATTGATAATTATTGAACCATGCACCAGTACAGGCTGGGGGCCAACCTGCCGGAAAGCAGGTCCTGGGGATCCTGGTGTACAACAAACCCTCTGTGAGCCAGCAGTGTGCCCTTGTGGCCAAAAAGGCCAATGGAATCCTAGAATGCATTAGAAAGAGCATTACCAGCTGGTCAGTGGAGGTGATCCTGCTCCTCTACTCAGCGCTACTGAGGAAAGCTTTGGGAGGAGCGCTTTGCAGAACTGTGTGCACTTCTGGACTCTACGGTACAAGAGAGGCATGGAGCTCCTGGAGGGGGTTCAGTGGAGGACTACAAAGATGATTAAGAGACTGGAACACCTCTCTTATGAGGATAGGTCAAGGGAGCTGGGCCTGTTCAGCCTCAAGAAGAGATGACTGAGAAGGGACCTTATCTATGTACATATCTGAAGGGAGGGTGTCAAGAGGATAGAGCCAGTCTCTTGTCAGTGGTGTCAAGCAATAGAACAAGAGGCAATGGGCAGAAACTGATGCACAGAAGTTTCACCTGAACATGGAGAAGAACTTTTTTACCGTGTGGGTGACTGAGCACTGGAACAGATTGCCTGGAGAGGTTGTGGAGCCTCTGTCACTGGAGATATTCTAGAACCCTCTCATCACAATCCTGTGGGGATGTGCTCAAGGATGGCCCTGCTTGAGCAGGGAGGTATGACCAGATGGCCCATTGTGGTCCCTTCCAACCTGCCCCATTCTGTGATTCTGCAAAAGATTTTCATTGATTTTGCTGACACTAAACTCTCCAACTGGATAAAAAGATAAAAATGCAGGTAAGGGCTGAGAAGGCTGTGAATCAAGGCACAGCATTTCCTGAAAGAAGAATGGCATGGCTGCACAAAGTGGAAAAATGAGGAGAATGTCATCTCAGGCATTGGGATCATCTTCTCTAGGGAAGATGTGATTTGCAGGAATAGTAGGAAAGTGAAAAGAAATTAAATATAAGACTGGCTAAAGGGTAAAATTGACTGCTGGGGCAAAAATAACTTTAAAATTGTTTTAACTACCAGAGTCAAATGCTTAGAAATAATCAAAGTGACCACTACATCATGAGTACAATTCTTACACTCCAAATTTTTATAGCTCCAAAGAGGTATGTACATGAATTTATGAAAATCCTTATTTTATTAAGTAGGTGTTATTAAATTTTTTGTAATTTCAGGTATGAAATAGTCCTGATTTTTGAAAATAGGAGTTTGGAAAGTTTATATCCACTAGGATCTAAAATTTAATTTCCACTGAACTCAATTGTATTTTCTGCAAATGTGAAATCAGGGAATTCAGTTCCTACTATTGTGATACCTGACTTTGAGTGGTATTTTACAAAGAGTTCCTCAAGGATACGTCTCCAGTCATATTTTTATTCATTACCTTAAAATAGGAAGATGGAGTTTGTTAATGAAATTTGCTGATGACACAGAAGTGGGAGACATTATTAATAAGGAAAGGAATGGCAATATGATACAGGAAGACCTGAATAACCTTGAGAACTAGAGTAATAGAAATGGAGTGAAACTTAATAGTGCAAATTGTAAGCTTGTGCCCTTCTGTACTAATACAAATTTCTGTCATAAGCTGCGAGGTCATCAGTTCAGAGACAGAAATGTGCAAGTTGTGCCTGGAAGTGCAAGTTAACCACTGGCTTCAGATGGTAAGGGGATGTGAAAAAGGCAAATTTGATCCTAGGGTCTACTGGGTGAGGTATTTCAGTATACAGTGCAAGTGAGTGTCTGGAGGAGGCAGTGCTGAGAGGTCCTCTGTAGCTCACTGTCATCCAGAGCATCCACATTCAGTAGAGAGGGTCTGAGGCTGCGATGAGTGCAGAGAAAGGTTGGTGAGACTGACTCAGGGACAAGCCTATCATGGCGTAAGGCTACAGTAGCACAGCTTGTTTGTTCTGCCAAAGGGAAGGGTGAGAGATTCTCTAAAGAAGATAAAGAACAATTTATGCTAAAAGGCAATGTTGATTCAGGAACAAATGAGCATTATTTGACCTGGAAAGATCAGAATGCAAATTTTTAAAAAGATTTAAAACCACTGGAGAAGTAAGATTCTGAAGACTGGAGGAGTCAAAAACCAAACTATGTTAAGAGCTGTATTAAAGTTGTATAAAAAGAAGGGGTTGAGGTAGTTGCCAGAAGTAGCTGGAGCAGAGATCCAGTTGTCCCATTCAGTATTCCTCTGAAAAACTTTGAAGTGATTTAGTAGCCATTCATAAAAAACACAAAAGTAAACACCCTTCATTTCAAAATGAGCCCTGCATTAGCATGAATTAGATAATTTTTTGATTGGTGTGCCATTTCATTTTTTTGCTTGCTAATATGAATAGAAGTACCACTACTAAGGACAAGATGAATACCTGTAGAATTTTGTACTTCCGGATACAGAGCTAAAAAACCCCAAATATTATTTCTCCCTCAGATATCATTGAAGTTATTAGAGCATTACTTTTCCCAGTAGATTGTTTGCAGGTCAGTCGCCTGCCTTAGTCAAAGAGAAAAGCTCAGGAAAAAAGGGCCACGTAACACTGGGAGCCTTGAAAAGAAAACAACTGGTTTTGCTCTGTGTGTGTGTATGAGTCTGTGTGTTTTCTCTGTTATGCTTTGTTGTGCAACAGCAATAATCTCTATTGCTTTGTAGTATACTCACAATAAATGGCTTTTTAGATTGATTACATGCCTCAACTTTGCTTTGGCTATTAATCAATCTCAGCAGCTGTTTATTGCTTTGTACATTACAAAGCAATAAAGATTATCCTTTAAAGAGCTGTTAATGCCTCATGGAAAAGTTTGAAAACCATTATTTTTAGAAATAGTACTGCTGATATGTAATTTTCTGGCTTTTCTTTCTTCCTCCCATGTTATTTTAAGAGAGCTCTGTGCTTGTGAAACACACAACCAAGTGTCTACCATCTCTGTTGCTTCTTTGAATTCCTGTCCATTGGATCACATTTCTTTCCTAAATTGCTAAACACAGTGCTTCATTGCTGGCAGTGTTTTGTGTGATGGTCCATGTTCATCCGAAGTCAGCAATGGAGTTTGCATACAAGGGTACCATCTGCAGAACATACCAGTATCAGTACTATTCCTGTTCTTCCTCAAATTTTTTTTTTTTAATCAAGTACGAGTTTTAGGGTTTACCTACACTGAAAAGTGAAACAGTAAAAGTCTAACAATGTATTTAGCAATGCAAAGGTCTCTGTGTGGACACTTCTATTCCATGATAAATAAACTAAGGAAAAAGGTATTGTTTGTTATTTTGGAACACAAACCTTCCTGTGGGGATTGGTACTCTCCTACATACAAAAATATATTTCTACTTGTAGAATTACATTGGGAAAAACCCACTTTAATTTCTGGCAGCAGCTGCAGCTCAAATATTCATAGATATTTGAGTGATATTTGCGTGACCTTATCACTGTTGCAGATATACAGTCTTCATAATTGTGCCAAGCCCACCTCCTTTTGCAACCCTGCTGGCCTGCTCAGCACCACCTCTGAAGAAAGGATGGGCTGCTCTATATTTTTACAGCTGCTGTTTTTCATCACTTCTTGTATTCTACAACCTGCCCCTGAGCACAGAAAGGAAGGATTGGGTGAAAGAATTATTTTTCCTTCTGTCCTTGTTCCAATGCCTAGCAAACCACAATCTGTCCCATCCTTTCTGTCTTAGGGAGATTTATGGTCAATGTTAAACCACCAGCTTAGGTTGTGCAAGCTTTTCTGTGGTCTTCTGTCAGTGCAGTCTTCAGTCATGATGTAAGGAAAATCATTCTGGTGGTGAGAAACTGTTAAATTCAGTTATCTACTTTCTCTACTTTGAGTATCAACATAAGTCCAGGGTGTGAGCAAAATTTTATAATCATTACTCTCTCCTTCAAAATTGGCTGTTATCTGCTCATTCTTATCACAAACACTAAGACCACCAATCAACCATCGGCTGATGCTGAACTTA